CAATCACAACTTACCGGCCCTTTGCGTCAGTCGTCGGATTATGATTGTTAATTAATCGGCCCTTGGATAATGATTGTTAATAATCCAATCATAACTTTTCGGTCATTTACGTCAGTCTTCGGATAATGATTATGATGAGTCGTAGAGGTGTTGCGAATGTTCACACTAAAATGTGAGTTGTTCGTATATTTCAAGAATACGACGCAATTTTTTCCAGCCATGCTAATAGTTTGGCCGTATTTGGTTGGATGATTGGTACAATTCAAATACCAAGTATTACCAAGTAAGAGAAAAGGAAGGGTATCTTTACACGTGCAAATGGAATTTTATCCTTACAAATACAACTAAACTTTCCTTATTCTGATATCAACCGGACATATGATAACTTGGTACAACGGCATTGTATTCATACGGTAAAATGTTATATCAGATTATTTTTCCAAAACCAAGCATAAATTATACATTCATGTTAGTATTTGTTATTGTGATGATATGATGATGATACCTTGTTGTAACCTTGTATTTATGTATGCAAAATGATCTTCAGCATTCACGTTGCATGTCAAGGTCACTGAAACGATGACTCATAATGCTATCAAATGAACAAACCTCTTCAGAAATGAAAATAGCAATGTAATTTCACAAAAAAGGATAATACCGTATAAGAAAACATATTCTATATAAACATACATTTTTAAAGTCTAATCGTGAAGCAAATGACTCTTCGTAGTGAAGCTACCCATTATAGTTGTGCAGACGAAGAACACAACAGTCATTTTTATTAGACTTATACATGAGTACACCATCTAAATACATAATCATCAATGATAAACATGCCACATATCTACAACATAACAAAAGTTTAATCAAATGCACTTTAAACATATATTTACATATGATACATTATGAAGAAGTCCTTAAAAAGAGTAATGGTTTCGTCCATATTGATCAATGGACGAGTCAATTTAGGAAATTTAGTGTGCTAAGAAATATGGAACTTTTTTATTCACCACCTGGTTGGCAACAGGCATTGAGCTAGCTGTGGCCATTCGCGTAAATCTCCAGACTGCATCTAGTATTTTGACTTCAACTGAGTGGGTCTTTCAGTTGTTTTAAATTCATTGAAAATGAAGTAGCACCAATTTAGATCATAAATACAGTCATACCCCAGGGATAGTAGCCCACTGTTATTAAAATGCCCATAGATTCTGAAATAAATTCGCAAACGGTAAAATTAATACAGTGTTGTACATACTCGTAGTTCTTTTCACCATTTTCTTAAAAAAATCATGTCCTATGTACGTCCAGCGGAATAATAAGGCGTTTTCTATTATGCAACCAGGATGAGCAAAAACAAGCATATTTGATCATGTAAAACTGTGAGCTTTCTTAAAGGCACACAATGACTCAGAAATCCTTTTTTTTAAATCTTTTTAGAAATGTCAAAAATGTGTTAAATAATGTTCTAATATTATATGGATTTAGAGCAAGTTAGATGTTTAGTAGCTAAGGAAATTAGCGTTGAATAAGTGGTTATGTGTCGTAAAGGTAGCAAAATGTATACAAAGTAGTATTTTGACATCCTTACAAAATACTAATCCACTATAAATCTATCAATTGCCAACAAAGAAAAAGGGGAAAAGATATTTCAACTATATTGCAAATGATTAGTTTCTTTGTAAACCGTAACAAGTTACCAAAACTAAACAGTTTTTCAGAAATAAAAATGATAGCATTTTTGGGGCATAATGGGCCTTTAAGGGTGTTTTCTCACTTTACTAAACTTTAGTTCAAATACCCGGAATATACGTTATATAATACGCCATACATATATAATATACACATGTTTACGCATGCTTTAATATATACGTATGCATATATGTTTTTTTTTTTGCTGGCGCAAAACCAAGACAAGGCAACTTGTGTGTGAAAATATGAAAACCTTGTAATGTTATATCACATTACGTAAACATATTCATAATTTTCAATAAAACATGTTAAATTGTAGCTATAAAACATTACTTTATGATATTTATGCGAAGAGAATGATATGTTAGGTTTGTTCCCTCGACCACGCATGACTGCTCAAAGGTAACCGAACACAATTTTCATAAACAAAATAGTTGACTTACAATTTTAAAAGATGAGTTAACATATTTTTGTATTCCCTTTTTTTCTTTTTTTTTCTTCTTTTTTTTAACTACCTTATAAATAAAAGATAAAGTAAAAATAAATATCAAATTAGTCACAATTAGTCAAGCGTTTTGAAACTGTAATAAACAAAAAAAGCGTCTGTAATGATAAAACCTGTTAAGAAGGTTCAAAATCTGTATTAACGCAGAGACTAATTACATTTTAGCCTGAAGCCACGCCCGTTGGTGATTATTATCCCCAGTGATTGGCTGATAAAAATGCCCAAAAAAATAATTTGATTGCAGACGACATGTACCAATCAAGTATATCCTGCAATTTACTCTCTGGAAAACCATTTATCTCTATTTGAAAATTAAGATTTTGCCATAATACAATTATCCATTGATATATGTATCTTATGTATCTGTAAAGTTGCTCAACAATTTTTACAACATTAGATGATGAAGAAATACGCAAGGGTAGCTTAAGCCCACTATAATAATATGTTCATCAGAAACCAGGAACCAGATATAATACTTATTTACTCTTTACCCAACATATAACTTTTTTCAGCTGCCATGTTGTTGTCGTGATTTGGTTTGTTGTTGTTATTGTTGTTTGTTTTGTTTTGTTGTTGTTTTGTTTTGTTTAGCGCAATCGGTACATTAGCTAACAGGTGCCTTATGCATTAGAGGCATCTCGCTGATTACCGTTATTGAAGCCCTTTCCGAAGTTTGGCGGTTTGGACCGAAACCTTGCATTCTAAAAACAATGTCAAAAACCCATATGCATCGCTGACTGCTTTGGGCGCATCTGTTTGTTAGTTTGTACAGTGTAGAATGTCTACTATTAGACATTTAAGCTGGCGAGCTACCCTTTATTTGCTTTATCTATATCCACTACATGTACCAACTTCTTGGCTTAATTAAATAAGTTGTTAAGGACAAGGTGGTCATATAAAACTCATAACAAAACATATATAATGACAAAGCAACATGATTTGATCTCACATTCCAGGGTCACAAATAACTTAACAAACTCGTATTGCTTCTATTTCACGTCCAACATACACAATGTATAAATATATTGGCATAAAACGAACATAATTTGATATTCAGTATCAACAATATCAATTTTAAAATGCGATACGAATGACATGATAATGCCATTAAAAATATTCTTTCCGTGTGCAAAAATTTAATGTCGCGTATATGTACAGCCATTTATTCCGTGCATAACCGAAACATTTTCAACATACTTGAATAGCATAATGGGAAATAGTTAAATGGGCATAAATATTTTCTTAAACATTCAAACATGCATATATTAGATATTTAAGTCAACGATTTTAACTATGATAAATATTTAATAGTACATAATTTTCGTTGTCCTTGCATTTATCTCCAGGAATGTCATTGGCAAAGGGTTTTTTTCTTCTTTTTTTTTTCTTTTTTTTTTCTTTTCCTTTTTGCCTGAGTCATGATATCCGTTATTTCCGATGCAGTATGTTATTGACTGCTAAATGTCAGTATTTGGCATAAAAAGGACCCTTATAGTAACAATAGACTGTTCTAAATCTGAAGCAGGGCTGATCCATTTTACAAATTTAGCGATACGAATGTTAAAATTTACAAGTCCTTGACAAATTAGTAGACAAGTAAAAAAAATCGTATAGTCGTTCATGCAATCGTTCCTAAATAGCTTATTACATATCATTATTTTGATTGGTTGTTTTATTTATGATAATGATTCTTTTAGCGAAATATAACCCGAGTAACAATGTTTAAATGCTGCTTTAGCTAGCTGAAAAGATGAGGGTGTGGGGACTAATTTAATATAGGGTATTAGATATGTGCTGTTTATAATAGTTCTTCGTTACCACGCCGAATACTGCATAAAGAACTACTTTTTCGTGTGCAAGGTTTGTACAATCATGAGGAAATGATCTTTAATGTTTGGAAATAATATCTGTACCTGGATTTATATTTATTTTTACCACGCTAAAGAGCTTGAATGGACTAATCTATTTTTCAATTTGGACAAGTCTATTTTTCATAATTCCATTTTCAATATTCCATTGGACCAAATGGTCCATGAGGATAAACAGATACATGGTAAATGACAAGACAGTGTAAAGCATATACATATTTAGAGCAATTTCAAAATATGTTTTGACTGAATTGCAAACAGTGCAGACCATGATCACACAGCACGGAAGTGTCGGTTGATCTTTGGTCTGCACTTGTGGTATGGGTAGATTTGTAGCTGCCAGCAGGCTATGGGTTCGAAATAGTCTATATATTTCATAACTTTGATGGATAAATTACGCTTACATATTGATTACCGTTTCATCAATCATTTATATTGAGCTATTTAAATACAGGTGCAAAGGCTTAAACATTTCCGCGCTGTGGCTACCGGAAGTACATGCAGGTATCATTTTAATAAGTGCTAGATTTGAATAAGTGTTAGAGATAATAATACAGTTTATTCTTGTAACATAGACCTCAGGTTCAAAGATACAACACAATACAACAAACATGAAAAAATGCAATGAAAATACAATATGAATATTATTAATGCATATAATGATTATATCCCTTGAATATCCTAAATTATTATGTTTGCAACCTTACTTCTTGAATAATTCAACACAGCTGTGAAAACAATGCATCATTTTAGTAAAGCATATATAAATAATTATGCAAATTTCAACACATTATCATATGCCTAACTACATGCTAAATTTCTTAAATATTCTGCATATATATTATATATTATTTAATTCGTTCGTATCACCATGACCTACTTAATTAACAATGGTCATAAAAATTATCATGCATATTTTCGTATATATGAACACTTACATACCATGTATGATCCAATTTTAACATGTCCTTCTTGGTTGTTATCTGCTGAACTTCAACCTTCACAGCATCTACAGTATTTACTTCAATTTTCATTCATTTCGATGTAATTCCCCCATATTTACAAAAGTTCAGCGTGAATTAGTCCTATCACTCCATCTCTTTGAACTTTAGAATTAGAAGGATCTCAGCACAATGCCTTGTTTTACACCCAAGTAGATAAGAAACTCTTCTTTCGTGAATCAACAATGCATTGGCTAACAATAAATTTCACAAAAACTTAAACACTTGAAAATAGCCATAAATACTCTTCCTCGCTTCGCTCCTCGGGCCACTAACTTGCACCTCTAGTATATTATAGTACGTAAAATGTAAATTTGAATTCACTTTTCCTAGCTATTTCATAAGGGAAAAACCGTTTAAATCAGCATTAAAAAAGAATCTCTATAAGCGATAAATCGTATATTTTAGAGTAAACATTAAATTTGCATGTCTATTCAATGTGAACATGGAGCAAAAACGATAGACTATTGAATTTATCTGAAATCTTTATTTGTTTTATTTTATTCTATATACAAAATAAACACTGTCATGAAAGGGGTATGTTTAACTTACCTTGTTTGTTAACTGATAAAATACTGAAATCGTTGGCCGCTAGAGCCGAACTAGTAAATAATTGAGAATGGGTGAGGAGGGGGTGAATACGGTTATACCCGAGCACCGGCAAGCATCCGTCACAGTTGTAAGAACACATTTTTAACATAATATTATACATGATTTGATTTGATTTACTTTAGACCGGGCGGTCATGGATAGCCTACAAAAGTGCAGGCACTTATTTTCAGTAGGGTCCTCACCTCATCAGACTGCAGAAACAGCTATGAGATACAAGGGAATCAGGGAACCAGTCCCTATATAGCTCTTATTAAATAGATCCCTTGGTTCTTTTACATGCCCTGTGCATGAGAGGATTATCTGGGTTTCGTACCAGTATACATCTAGGTAGGTGGTAAACACTGATAGTGTTTCTGAAAATCCCAAGGGTGTTACCCAGGATCAAACCCATCTTAACTAAGAATAGTTTAGGAACCAGATTTGATTTTCATTCCTTTATTATATAAAAACTAAAATTGTTCGTATTCTTCTAGCATTAACTGTTACATTAACAAAATGTAAAATAGAAATGCTGTTCTGCAAAGAAAACAGCTCTATTTTTGGAATAAAATCGACGAATAACAAAACAAATAAAACATATTTGAGTGTTTTTTTTTAACCAGGTTTTCAACGAAAACCGGGTTATTGTAATGCCGAAGTCGGCGGGCGGGCGGGCGTCAACTTTTGGTTTTCGCTCAATAACTTTAGTTTGCTTTGGCCTATTGACACCAAACTTGGTGTGTAGGTAGCTTATATCAAGAGGCAGCTTGGGATTGCTAGCCAGGTGTCTGTGATCAAGGTCAAGGTTCACTGTTACTAAAAAATAGAAATTCAGTTTCCGCTCAATAACTTGAGTTTGCTTTGACCTATTGACACCAAACTTGGTGTATGGATAGCTTATATCAAGAGGCAGCTTGGGATTGCTACCCTGGTGTCTGTGATCAAGGTCACTGTTACTAAAAATAGAAATTCAGTTTCCGCTCAATAACTTGAGTTTGCTTTGACCTATTGACACCAAACTTGGGTTATGGATAGCTTATATCAAGAGGCAGCTTGGGATTGCTACCCAGGTGTCTGTGATTAAGGTCAAGGTCACTGTTACTAAAAATAGAAATTCAGTTTCTGTTAAATAACCTTGAGTTTGCTTTGGCCTATTGACACCAAACTTGGTGTATAGATAGCTTATATCAAGAGGCAGCTTGGGATTGCTATCCAGGTGTCTGTGATCAAGTTCAAGGTCACTGTTACTAAAAATAGAAATAGAAATTCAGTTTCTGATCAAGAACTTGAGTTTGCTTTGGCCTATTGACACCTAACTTGGTGTATGGATAGCTTATATCAAGAGGCAGCTTGGGATTGCTTCCCAGGTGTCTGTTATCAAGGTCAAGGTCACTGTTACTAAAAATAGAAATTCAGTTTCTGCTCAATAACTTGAGTTTGCTGCTTTGGCCTATTGACACCAAACTTGATGAATGGGTAGCTTATATCAAGAGGCAGCTTGGGATTGCTACCCAGGTGTCTGTGATCAAGGTTAATGTATTTAGTTTTCATGTTATAACTTGAGTTTGCTTTGACCTTTTGACACCAAACTTGCTGAGTTGCAGCTTTTGATTGCCACTAAGATATCTGGGAGCAAGTTCAAGGTCATTTGCTTACAATAGAATTTTCAGCTTCTACTCAATAACTTCAGTGCTTTTTGGCCTATTGATTGCTGTCACATCAAAACTTGGTCGTTGAAAACCTGGTTTTCGTCGCATTGCGGCGCTTCTTGTTTGTTTTTTGTTTTTTTGTTGTTTTTTTTTTTTTTAATTTAATCAATCCTTTAATCTCAGTGAACAAATGACCAGATCAAGTAAATGAATAACGACCTTACGATGTCAGAATTTATAACGACGTTAAACATTGTAACATTCTTGCGACTTTAATTTTTTTAACGTTCTTACGACGTAGCGTTCTTAAATCACTACAGTAAATGTAAAGCATCCCTGTGACGATATAAGAGAATAAGACGCTACTGTCTTTTGATATCAATTTTATCTGATCGCAACTCGTCAAACTCCGTATCAGGCGAGGTTCTCCGAATGCTAACTAGCAACTCAACACCATACTTGTAATAAAAATTTCAAAACATTTTACGAAAATATTTTTATCCAAAGAAAATGTTTGTTTTTAGAAGTATACGTATTATGAACTTCAGTCGGGACACCTCGCATAGTATTACAAAAACGGCCGAATTGTTACACTATATAGATCTACTTATATTTTTAAGGTGATGCGAATAGCTGGGTAACTAACATCGATTCGTGTGTCTATCATAACCATTTTTTTAAGGGGGGTTGAATCTTTCAGATAAAACCTATACTGCTCCACTCCGACTTTTTTTCAAATATTTTAATCAAGGCATCGAGTTATCATTTATTTATCGTCATCATCATCATCATTATTATTATCATCCGGTTGAACATAATTTTACACTTTTGACTGGATTGGAAAATGTTCAAGATTATTCTTGATTGATTAGATCTATACTTATTGAAAATAAAATAAAGTCTTTTATAGTAAAGCTAAATTATTCCAGTGATTGTGTGCGATTTTTGTTGTGTGCGCGTGCATGTATCGCCAGCGATAAACCATTCCCCAGTCGCGAATTATACCAAAGAGACTATAATGTAGAAAACTGTCACGGTAGGCAGGGTGAACACAATAGCATGAATTTTGTAAATATTAAATTTTCACTCCGTAACTTGACATATGGACATAAATCATAAGTTTACATCATATATATTAAGATTATACAAATTATAAACTACACGGCGTAATCTGTCTGCCGTAAAATAATATACGTATAGATTTAAACTTCTCAAACAATTAATTTTAAGTCATCCTTAGGGTGTTTAGTGCAGCCCTGCATGGTACAGCTGATGAAAGCCGGCCTCTTGAATCGCAAACCTGTGAGATTTTTTTACAACCCTAAAAATAAATGCACTTGAAATATGTCTTTTACAATTTTTCCCCAAGTTTTTTGTGTTTATAAAACACTTTAGGGAAAAATGTTTCAAAATTCTATGAAATATTGACGATAAACGAATTAAAGAAAGTACTCTATACTGTACATTCCTCAGGCCATAATTATGTTTTCTTTTGGAAAAAAAATAATGTTTGTTTAAAAAAGTATAACCACTTGAACAGATTAGAAGGTAATATTTCATAGGATTTAAAGATAGTAATTTGCTAATGGTCCTTCATATAATCAAGGGAGATAACAAACGGCAAATAATGTACAATGAATGCACGAGTTTCGTCCCTTTGTAGTATTGACTGTTGGCCAACCAAATCTTTTGAATATCTATATTTTCAATTAAACTCAACTTGACAATGAGAAAATGAACATAATGTCACTTTAAGTGCATGCATGTTGTGGCTCGCATTTTCCTAAACATTAGTAAAATTTTATTTCCCATGCAAAGTTGAATTTGCCCTCATTTTACTGAATTTAATCAGGTACAATTATGTATTTAGTCACAATGGCTTGTATGATAAATACTGGTTACATACAGGTACTCTTCCACTGGCTATTAAGCAATTTCTTCTCGATAGTTTAGCGCAAATAGTTTGGTGTGTAAAAAAGCCTTGATAATGTAAAACTCTCTAAGTTAACAAAAGGGCAAAAATTTTCTTTAAAACCATATTACAGTTATAGGCCTTGAAGAGAACCCTATTATGCTCTCAAAGAATAGTATAAAACTTGCTTCAAAGCCAAATGTCAATAGAATTTGAAAATATCTGAGGTGGTATGCAAACAAAAATGTAAATTTTAAGTCAAAAAGGGGCATAATTCTGTCAAAATGCTTGATACAGTTACCTCCTCCTGTCTACAGGTTAGGGTCATGTTGGTGATAAAGTGTGCAAAATTTCAAAGCCATATGTCAATGGACTTTGAAAATATTTGAGGTATTACAAAAACTTTAACGTAAATTCTAAGTCGAAAAAGGGGCATAATTCTGTCAAAATGCTTGATATAGTTACCTCCTCCTGTCTACAGGTTAGGGTCATGTTGGTGAACAAGTGTGAAAAGTTTCAAGGCCATATATCAATGGACTTTGAAAATATTTGAGGTATTACAAAAACTTTAACACAAGTGGTTACGCCGATGCTCGGGTGACTACAATAGCTCTACTTATTCTTATCGAATAGTCGAGCTAACAATGGTCATAAAGAAATCAAAGTACAGAAATACAAACAGGCTTGCGATCAGTCACTCTTTATGTTTCATAATCAGTAGGAGTGCAATACTAGTCTTCTCGCTTTATGGTATATAAAATGTCCAAACAAATAATATAGTTTTCATTTTTTTATTGTATATACACGTACCTTTACAATATTGATCATTACTTTTAGTTATAATAATTTACTAAAGATCTTGGCTATCTCCACAAACAAACAAACGAATACAAAACAATAATAACTTAACTGTATTCCTGACAAAAACATGTATCAAAACAAAAACAAGGGGAAATTAAAAGTTAGCACTATAATCCCAGAGTTATGGCACCTGGTTTGTTAAAAATATATTGTATATAGAAACAGAAAATAATCTGATTTATATTAACATTTAACTACAAGAAGAATTAAAAGCTTTAGCTCTATTTTAAAAGCTTTAGCTCTATTGAAACAATTTCATCGATTCTCTTAAAAGTGTCATGACAGTTTTTAACATGTCTGAACAGTTCTACCTGCTTTCTGGAATAATACCAGCTTTAGTAACAATTACTGACAAATAGTCGAGACCAAAGTAGAGCTCAAACTCAATAGCCAATGGCTGGACGGCAGACATCTTTACAACTAGACATACATTTAAATTAAGTCTTTATGTGGATTTACTTTTAAATTGATAATCAAGGAAATAAAAACTCTCCTCTCATTCCCTTACAAGATTTTTTTAGATCTAAAACCATATAACACATAACCACATATTATGCCAGAACAAGCCTTTTCTGCACCAATTATTAAATAATAAATTGCACAATAAAAACATAATTATATTAAAATATTTAACATTAAAGTAGATTAACAGATTAATCTATTATCATACGGAAACAAGAACTCTAATAGAAACACTTGTATACAAATTTTGTCATTATTCTGTGAAATAGTGATATTACTATTCTGAACAATTATAGAGTTTTAAGCAAAAAAATACAAAATTCTTGTAATTAATTCTTATAATTTTTGCCTTATCTTTACGCAGTGAAAATGGTCCAGCGTTAAAACTGTCTAGGACACACAAATAAAACTATGGAGAACACAAAGCACCTAACTCACTTCTATCGAACAAGGAAATGATAAGAACACACCTACACATGTTTTGTCATAGGATAATTCACATAATTAACACAGGATAGATCAAAAGCTTGTGTATTTCATGTAAATGTATATAGGATAACAAGCAAATCTTCAATATAGCAAAAATATAGGAAACATAATCCAATTTCTTTTGTTTTCTTTTTTTCAATCAATTTTACATATGATCCTATTTTATAAGTTGGCAAGATCTTACTTTCTAGCAACTAAATTTTTCAGTGAATATTTGAAAACCAATTAATAACTACTTGTACAATGAAAACTAAATAAATTATTTTTAAAGTAAAATGAAAAACCAATAAATTCTTTTTTAGTTAAAACAGTAAGTCAAGAAACTCAAGGTGGGAAATAATAATTTTCAGGACATAATTACTAATAAGTTAAAATAGAAAACAATCTTTTTTGCGCAGTTGAGTGACATAATTCTTATAAGCCAATGTTTCCAGCACAGACTTTTAAAATCACGGTAGTTACTCTGTCTCTTGGTATTTTAATTTTTCTCCTGAGCTTCTAATTTTTTTCCACCAAGAGGGAATCCAAAAACAAAAACTGTGGCAACAAGGAAAGTAAGAGTAATGGCGAAATATCCAGTCTTGTACAATTTCTGAAGTCCAAAACCCCACGCCCAGTCCCATGCCTGGAAAGAAAAACAGTTTCATGAATTTTTTTTTTCAGTTTTTTTTTACAATTACTAGGCAATGATCTTTCATTTAAGATAATCATTAATTTTATCATGAGCAAACATTTAATTTCATCAAAACTTTTTACAAATAGAAAGATATAAGCAGAATTTGGATTATAAAGTGCAAATGTTTAAACAGTAGATCTTCAATTTCTTGGTTTGTTTTAAAGTCACCCTGATACCATGGTCATATGGTGATTTTCCAACTTTACTTGTGAAGAAGGACCTCAAAAATTGACCCCTGTTTGTTTGTTTGATTGGGTTTTACTTCACACCAACACAGTATATCATATGCAGCTTTACTGGTGGAGGAAGACCTCAAGTGCCCTTCCGTGCATTATCCAGAGACGAACAAACACCCGAATAGAACCACAGACGTTCCATAAGCTAGCTGGATAGCTTCCTCACATGAAAGAATCCAAAGTCCCCTCACATGAAAGAATCCAAAGTCCCTGTCAGGATTCGAACCCACAGCAGTGATGGGCAGGTGGTTTGAGGTCAACGACCTTAACCACTCAGTCTTGGGCGCCCCACTAAATATGAATTGTCCTTATGCATTAATTGTATAGGCTAGGGCAGTTCACATTTTAATAAGTAAAATGTGAACTGTCCCAGCCTAAATACTTAATGCGGATTGTCCAAGCCCTTTATACTTATAAAATGTGAACTATCCCTGCTAAAATACTTACTAAATGTCTGATTCCATTGATGTAGTGAAAACAGACCGGAAGTGCTATGAGATATTTCAGTCCTATAATGAGGGCAGGTCCAAGTTCTAGAGACTGTAGGAGGCCCAGCCAGTGTGCATAATCACCCGGAGCCAGAAATAGGAATATTGAGGCCCCAGACACAGCTGTTGAAGAAAAATTGGTAGAAAATGATAATAACATTCTAAAACATTTATATGATACAATTAAACAATTGATAATATATTGGGTATTTAAAAATGATTATTGTAAAATTCTGATAAACCAATATTTTGGTGAGGCCAAAATTTCTCAAAATGGACATTTCCCTACAATTGGTAAGGTTTAAAGTGACATTATGCTAATTTTTTCATTGTCTAGTTGAACAGACTATATATTTTCAAAGATTGTTTGTTATAATGGTGATTGACTAGCATAGTTTATATGGAAAAATGGTTAGAATAAAATACAACTCTGTTTAAAATATAAAAAGACTGTCCTCTCATTATATCAATTAAATGTCACAGGAACATTCTGATGGATATTTAAAGAATTTCCTTGGGCCATGCAAGTTATATATCATTCATGTAAAGTAAATAATAAGATTGATAGGAATTATGGCAAATTGTCAACTTAGTTTGCCTTTTGCCTGTTCACTCACAAATACCCTTGAATGAGCATATTGTCACTTTTGCCTGTAACATAAATTATCATAATCCCTAAAGGTTTCACCAGTGATGTAATCATACAATATATTTATAATACGAAAAAGAGGCTTACTAAGGGCCATTGCTATTCCAGTAACTCTGTGAGCCAATGACGTCATCATAGGTAACTCTGGTCTGTAAAAGACAATATTGAACATGTTATTGTATTACAGAAGACACACATCAACCTTAGTGCTAACAAGGAAATCATTTGGTGGTCTATTTTGAGAGCTGAAAGCAATGGTGTTTAAGTTAAGAGATGACATAAAGAGCAAGATTCAGTCACTATCTGATGTAAACAACATCCCTGGACACTTAAGAAATTCTATACATGTACAGACAGTAAGGGACTGAACAGGTCAATATAAGGAAAACGTCAAGTTAAAAAGTAAAGAAAACTGAAATGAACCATCAACTACATTAACTTGTATACTGACGATTATTAGAATATACTGGTAACCATAACTTACTTGTATATTCTGAGATGAGGTGAGAGTGGACGATTCAATTTCCTGTTCTTTTTCCAGAATTCTTCCATCTGTTGGTATGCCTGCATTGTGCTCATTGGACCACTGGTAAAATAAATACAGTTCAACATCTTTTTTAACATTTAAACAAGTCATATAATTTTGTAACAAAAATAAAATTCAAAATATCGATAGACTCAACTACTTGCATTTTTATGAAAATACAAGTCATTGTGTATTTTTTTTCATCTTTAATTGCATGTTACACTGGTAGACATTCCATCAATTTTATGAACAATCATGAATCAATCACGAACAATCATGGTATGCTAATTGTCACACAGCATTTAACATGTTGAGTTTCTTAGGTGCAATCTGCACCTTTCAATTAAATGCAATAAACTTGTGTAGCACAATAAAACTATTAAATGTTTCAGTTCACATAACTTTACTATCATTACTGTCATGAGTTCGTCTAATTGATTAAACAATGCCATACCTAGTCTACAGATGAAAACTAATTATCATATTCAATTTCCATGTTTTTCCAAATTTACTCACCAAGATTTGATCATGCAAAATACTCCCTGGTTTTTTGTTGCCAATGCCTGGCGCCCCATGTTCCTGCAAAAGTAATACATAATCAATGCTGTAGTCAAGGTCAAATTTTCTAGGTCAGAAAAATAAATTAACTGCCTACTTTACAGTGTGTCAAACTATAACTTATAATAATAATAACTGGCAGATAATATCAAAAAGCTTTTTAAAAACAACTGTATAACTTTAATATTGTCAGCAATTTCTTATGATCATATCATCTGTGCTAAATTCTCAGGTCAGACTATTTACAGATGTCACTGCTACCTTACAATTTACTCATCTCCAGACTCTCAACATGATATTCTGGGAGAAAAAGTAGGACCTGGGGTTTTTACCCTCCAAGACCACGGCATTTACACTGAAGTTAAATAAAGAAGAACAATTTTGAGAAAAAAATAAGTAGGTGATAGACTCTTGTACTTGTGTGGTTCTATTAATTTTTTATTGCCTATCCCAAAATTCCAATATAACAGTGTCAATTGTCAGTCGCTACTTTTTATTAACAGTTAAATTTTACAATTACAATTTACAAGAGGAATTCTCCATCTGGTCTTTTTTTTTTTAATTTTAAAAGGTCAAGGAAGGAATAATTGTAGGCTCTGTGACTGAGCGATGTAGCTGCTTATATAGCATGTATAGAACATGTATAAAAAAACATTGATTCCCAACACCAAAAAGAAATAAATGAATGACAAATAGATTTACTAACTCAATAGAACATGAATATATTTCAATATCCAGGGAAAATAGCATGCTATATATTATCTGCAATAAAGTTATGATACACCATGATAAATAGTAATAATATTATATTTATGAAGATAAATTATTTCAAATGTTTTAAATTTTAACTGTTAGTATAAAAGTTAATTAGTTTATATGACAAATACCCAACATTAACAGCTGCGAATAAAACCTGTATTTGTAAACATCAGAGTTATCTCGTGACCTGTCACAATGTCTTTCACTTATAAGCATTTTAAATTTCAAATAGTTGAACGGCATTAGTTTACATATTTCTGACAGTAAAATTCTAAATTAACTAATAGATCTACTGCATCTGAGTATCTACTCGCAATATTTCGACTGCAAGACCAACTGAATTTACAATCTGATATTACATAGATGTCTGTGAAGGGCAAACATCGTCTATGTAATAAAAAGCCCAGAAGAGCACAATTTGTTGGGCTACTGTGCATCAAATTCTTTAATTTGCCTATCCAACTATACAATTGTACGGAAGTAGATCTAGGTACAATTTACAGAAGTAGGTACATTTCTAACATATCTAGATAATTATTTATCTAGATAATTTAGTCCTTTATTCAGTAAATGAGTAGGTATTAACTGATTAAGGAACATGTATAAAAGGTCAAGGCTGAATTTTTCTGTAAATTTCAAGGGCATTTTACAGATTGCATTACATGTACTGAAATATATATATTAAAGCTATAATAATCTTAAAGCGATTATCTAAAATAAGACTGTTACTACGTTGTCAATTTAGTAAAATTTAGCATTGACAAATAATTTTTAAAATATAAAGATAAAATTTTTACCTAAGCAAAACAGCCGCCATCTTGATTATTTTTCAGGCTCTGTCTAATGTCCGAGCTTTATACGCAATATGCGCACCGTTGTAAGAGAGACTCAAAAATATAACTGGAAGGCGCTGTCACGGAAAAACCGTGCAGGCATTGTATACACACCGGTCTCTAAAATATCAATCAGTGAACATATTGCCGTGCAGGTATAAACTTATAGAACAAATATATATACAATTTAACGATAAAATAACACAGAGTGTAAATATTAAAAATAGAAACATCAAGGAAATATTTTAAATGTTAACCGATACCAGCCGTCCTGTGTCTATATTGGATATAATTCGGGAGGCTAATCTAGTGTCGGATTGCTTAATAAAAGCAAAAGATCTCATGGTATCGGGTCCGATACTGGGGTATGGGGAAAGTTAAGTTTATTATGGTAACGAACCCTACAAAGACTAGCTGATATAAATCTCAGTGAGATATGGATCCCTCTTTGGTATAAATTTTCAACTGTAGTTCTTGTAACGTATTGGTGGCGCTACTAGTGAAACCATAGACTTTGTCATTAACAAAACTGGCTGCAGCTCTATTTACACATTCTAGCTTATCGGCATGATTTTTCTGTCAGGGATACCAGATAATAGAACAGTATTCTACCTGTCGTGTTACATGCATATGTTGTGTAGTCAGCATCATTAACTATTATACATTGTACTTGATGTTTTTATGTTTCTTCTGGGACAGAATAACAACCCCTGTCCCAATTAAGTGTCTTTTAATAAAGCGAAAGGTATCGTAGATCTGCTTGAGATGTTACATTACATATACATGTATATGCTGGGTCCTGTTTAAAACTGCACGCAAGCCTCCAGGTGAGCCAAAATATTTCAAGAAAATCAAAATTGAGAAAAATGTACTGCGATTTTAAGAAAAGTAAAAATATTCAAGATTAAAGTAATAATTAACATGTTATATGCGACTATTGATCTCTCTTTGGTAATTTCGTGCATTTTAAGTGCCAAGTGCAAATTATAAATTACTTTTTTATTGATCAGGGACACATCCAGAATATTTTGCCGGGGTCGGCGGAGGTGGTAAATTTTAAATAACCCAGCCCCTCTGTAACGCCGGGTGTCTTGGAGTGAAACTCTCTGCATATTAAATGGTGGATTCTGGTGAATTTTAAAGGCACATTTTAGGATACACAATTTAGCATTTTCAAACTTTACCACATATTGACTGAGTACATGCATTATGACACAGATCTCTCAGCATGTAACCGGTCTCAAGTTTGTGTCCTACATTCATTTTATGCCACATTTAGCTTATAATTTGGTATTTATGTTTCAAAAAAATAGGTTACATAAGCCTCACCGTCGGTTGATTCGTGTCTGATTTATTTGAGCCGTGCCATGACAAAACCAACATAATGGGTTTGCGACCAGTATGGATCCTGATCAGACTGCGCGGATACACAGGCTGGACTGGATCCATGCTGGTCGCAAACCCATTATGTTGGTTTTGTCATGGCACGGCTCATTTCTGTTATACTCGTATGTTACTGCTGTTACATAATAGCCATATTGCATATTCGGTAAAGTATTAAAGTTCTGTTTTAATATTGGAAAATATAACTCGCGTGTAAAAAAAGTTGTTGATAGTATTCATACTAATCGTTAAATGCACATAATTGCGTCACTGTTATTTTTTTGTTATTATTATCATTATTTCTAGTGATCAAACCTTTAATTATAAACTAATTCGATTTAATGAGACAGACGGCATGAATTTCATCATATACGTTAGCCTATGTAAGGACTATCATCTTGGATACTTTTACATATTATTTTAGGTTACTGCACGCTTGACTATGGGCATGTATACTGACTTATATTTGGGCTTTTTTTTTTACTTCGAGGATATTTAATGAGAAATACATGTATATAAAAGTAACATATCGTTCAATCTTTTTATGCAGACTTACATTAATGGTGACTATTATGAAATATAATTAAATAATATTAAAAACAGTTGGGCCAAATGTTTTTGTAAGGTACTTTTGCAGTAAGTGGTAGGTAAAGAAAAGTAAAAACTGTAGTAATTTGATAGAAATCGTGTTAAGGTCATTCAATGTTTGATTGTCTGATATGTATATTTACATGATTGCTCAGGTTTTTACGAAGATGACAGTACATAGCCCAATTACAAATCATGGTAACAGTTTCAGCAGTTCTTTCCTTTAACATAGAACTTTAATCATATTGCTTACATAGGAACGGATTCGAGTTTGTGTCCCTAAGAGCTTATAGCATCCTACAGTATCGAACTAACATGATTTCTCAATAAACCAAATTTTCAACAACAACAACAAAACAAAACAAAAACACAAAACAAAAAAACCTCGAACATACAAGAAACAACATATTCGCTCGAGAAATGAATAACAAAAAACTAATATATCGAAAACTAGTACAAATGTATAAATGTATATTGAGGTAGCTATATTTCCTGATACATATAGTAATAAGCCATTAATTTCACCATTTCATTCATAACTGTTGAAAGACATCACTTTCAGCACGCGATTCATTCATAAGGTGAATTACTTCATTTTGAATACTCGACTTTTCCAGCATCAGTGCAACCACTGGCAAATCTGTTCTGACATGCAACTTATTTGACACACTATAGGTAGATCTAACTTCTGTGTATTGGGCCAAGTGTATGTTATTTTTATTTATTTATTTATTTTAAATCTAATGCGTTCTTTGATTATATAGAATGATAGAATAAAAGTGTGAAAGCCATTTAGAACAAAATTATACACGTACTGTATACCTATGACTGGACAAGAACGTCAAAAATGTTTAGGTTTAACTTTGCCAAGTTTAATCAGTGCTGTCTTTCCCTACAAATTGATAATGGTTTGACTAAATTTTTCTTACTTTCCAAATTCATTAAGGAGTACAGACGTACGATAAACCCGTATAACAATTCATATATGAGGACAATCTGATCATTGTTTGTTTTATCTAAAAGAAGCCTGCCTGTATACTATTTCGATGACAATTTAGATACATGTACTGTAGTTCTAAAACTATGGTCATCTGCAGAAATGTGGCGGCGGGGCCGAGTGGTTAACTCATCTGACTAGTAAACTAGAGATTGCTGGCCGCATGCGTTCAAACCCTGTCATGGGCATTGAGCAAGAAACTTTACATTCATTGCTTAGTATTGGTTGGTTTCAGGAACGTATTCGAGAGTGTTTCAATAAGCTTATGGCTTCCAACACAATCGAACTAAGATAAATTTGTATAAACTAAATTAAATGTATAAATGTAGAAACCTTATCTAAGACAATATCATCAAATGTGCACAATGTGTGCCAGAAATATGAAGGAATAGCATTTTTAAAAATACTCCATGTATGGATGCGGACTAAATTTATTTGTTTTCTTAAGTTGCCTTTTAATATTGAAAATTAGTTTACAGATTCGGAGGTGTGTCCATAGCTTCAATCATTCTTTATGCCAGGTAATATACAATTGGACATAAAAAGACTAATTTTTTTAGAATTTACCAACAACGACATGCAATGTCGTTTAGCAGGTTTGGAAGTTGTTATTAGAAAGCAAAATAATTTTGAATTTCCTGTCAAATTAAATCATACTACATGGGAAAACAAAGTATCTTCATGACAAAATAACAAAGATAAAATTGTGTGTATTAACCTTTTTATTGTAAATCACAAATATAACTAAGGTAGACACACAAAAGACGATGTGTAAACATGACATACACGTACATTACGGTTAACGGAAGTCAAAGAGATCCACGCGCTTCCTTAGATGCTTGTAAATCTCTTTCACTTCCGCCATCGAAATTGCTTATCGAACAGACGGCTACACTTTTAAACTACTTACATGAAATACACAGAGATACAGAATAAGTTAATTGACCTTTTATTTTTGAAATCGAAATGAATTTGTCCAACGATTGTATGTGCTAATTACATATATTAAATGTGACCTTGCAAACCCACTGTAAAGGTGAAACATTTTGTTTTGTAAATATGGCTTCTCATACAGTAAATGACAAATAAATGATTGTAAAAAGTTCTATATGAAATAACTGTGATAAGATCCTAAAATAATTGAGATTTATTTCTTTGTTTGTGGTTCGTAGTAGCAGTAGTACACTTCGCTTCCACTAGCGCCAGTAGCCTCGTTCCAGAATTCCATTCCGGGATGTACAGCTCCGAGTTCAGAGTTGCTTGGAGTTTTGAAATCTTCATCATCGAATCGAAGCCATTCTTCGGATACCTTTAAACACACGTAATTCGATATTTCAATGCCAAATCGAAAACGGAATAAACTCTAATTACTCTAGAGCTCTAATTATCTTTTGCATACTATTTACTTACTAAATGCGGAAGTTTACTTAAAATACGCAGTCATTGTCTAATTCGTTAAAACTATTTGTAATGCATTGTTAGTAAGATCTAGTGTATTTTGCTTTTATTTTTATTTTTATGTGAAGTTACACATGTATCAAATTCATTGTTTTAATTGACATGAAGGCTCGGACAAATTGACTTACTATAATCTGATCTGAGACTAAAATATTTACTTTCTTCTCCACTGCTTAGCTAGAAAATTATATACAACAATATATACCTTCATGTTTGCGACCTTCTGACAAACGTCTCTCTTGTATTGGAATAAGTAGAAAGGTCTGTCTGTTGGTAAAATTATTGGCTCAGTTGGAAGGCCATCGGATCTGGAACACGAAAAGAAAACAATGAAACCAATTATCATATTATTACAAAGGAGTACTTAGTACAGTACCTAGTTATTAATATAACTATATACATCAACTCTTAGCCTGCTGGCGGCAACTGAATTTAGCCACGTGACTGAAGCAGACCAAGATCAGACGGCTCATCCGTGTCATTTAATCATAGTCTACGCTGTTCGCTTTTGCGTCAGTACAATAGTTTTAAAATTTTCCATAAATTTGAGGACTGGTTTTATCCAGATTGAAAGATTGATAAGTCTATTTTGCGTGATAAAGGATAAAATGGCTTTCTTTGGCAGAACGAACAAACCGTGCCAAAGAATTTTCTTTGGACAACATATTTGTATTTGTTACATAACATTAAAAACGGTCAATGATAGTTCCAAGACTTTTGACTATCGTTGGTAGCTCATTTTTTGTGTTTTGATTTTGAAATCCCTTGAACTTGAAATGATCTGTTCAAAATTCAAAGCAGGACAAAACATGTACATAAATTAAGCAGGTTAAGTGATGAGAGAGTCGAACTTGTTACCTGCAACAGAATCTCTGTAGAGTGTCTTCATCATAAACACCGTCTGGAAGAAGTCCCTGCCAGTCATTTCTGTTCACACTGTCTTCATCGTCCCATTTAACGTATCCTTCAGCAAAGTCTGTAAATATAGAAAATGAAACCGTCAGAAACAATAAAACATGATACATGTGTGCGATTTTCAGCTATGAGTCTGCGATTTTTACCTTTTAAGATTACTGCCAGTTATCTCCCATTGTCTTTAATTTGTAATAACTGTGTTTTTAATTTGCTAACTAGTTATTCAACTGTTAACGAATTTTCATATTAAAGGATATCTAGACTGCTTTACCATTAGTGTAATAAATTTGCCCAGCTTTGGTTAAGAAAAGTTTATTCATAGTTTAATTAAGGAATTTTCATATAAAAATACAAAAATAAAGGTGCCAATAATATAGTGTCTATATTGACACAGACTACAGGGTTGTGCAGACTGGTCTGGCCCTTTAACCAATGGCAAAGGCTAATTTCTTTTGGTCCCAGACGCTAATGGGTGAAAAATTTAAACCTTACTTACCAGCTGGACAATCGCCATATTTAAAGATACAATAATCTCCATTTGGCCAATGTCTGTCAAAGTCTGTTGGGCTTTTCTCTCCCTTTGTGCAGTATTCCAACTGGAATGCGCCTACTTCAAGTTTTCCTAAAATCATCAAATAATTTCACATTATTATACATGTATATCTGGCATTATCTGCAGTTCAGACATAAAGATAATGATGAAATCTAATATTAAGAAATCATACCCTTTAACTTCTAGCATTATATGACTTTGTTAAATATTAGTAAAACTTACCTGCGAAGTGGTTGTTGATGGACCAGGCGTTATCTGGTGATTGGGTTTCTGTGTCCTGCATTCTCCATCCCTCATACCATGTGAAGTCTCCGGCTGGGCATCCGTTCTTTGGCTTAGGCAGGGAGTAAGTTCCCATTGGCCAGGTTACTGGAATGGCTACTGGGTTTGCTGAAGTGAACATAGTAAATATGATCATAAAATACAATTCTATATCATTGTAGAGATTATGTATTTAAGTATTGTTACACATGACTTTAAAATGGTCTTTATTTTAGACTAAAAAATATGCATGCTGTTTCAACTAATCTTACATGATAATATAAAATTGTAAATGCTCGCAAAAATTGATGATTTAATTCAAAAGACATTACATTGACATGCACTGATATATTAAATTTATTTGAACTTACAGATAGGGGATTTAGCACCTAGGAGGCCTGGGTATTCAGTTATAGCTTTTTCAAGGTTCTTTCTTTGGTATGTCAACGCAGCCTCCTCACTTGGTGGACAAAGACCTCTCTGCTTGTAGTCATCCATGTTCTGCCATTGAGCAGAGTCAAGCATATCAGAGATTACGACCATTGAATAACCAATTGGTTCAGGGAACTGCTCACTTCCAAGAGAAAGAGTATCTTGAATAGATCCACATGTATTTCTGTATTGTTGTCTGTATCGGTAGGCGTTAATATCAACGACCAATGAAGAAGCGTGGTTCATCCAAGCTCCGCCCAAAGTGACGTCTCTCGAAGACTTAAGAAACAGACAAAAAATCATTAGATTGTTGTAACAATAAACGAAACAAAAAAACTAATTTATATAATTATTTGCTAATAATCAGTTTATTAGTATATATTTTTGGTCCTTTATAAACTTTATGGAATTACATCGACCTAAAATGAAGGTAGTTGGAGGAAGGTACTATTATCTCTGTTAGCATGGAATGCACAAACGTATGGGCCGCAAAGTCTACCTATTGGAATAATTATTGCACGGTCAGTAGCTTCAAGTCTTTATGAACCATCAAACTTGAAAAAGTTCATATGAACATAACAATACCAATGTGGATTTAAACATAATAAAAGTATAATAAAGACAATGAGATATTTACGGTGTTCATAACTTGTTCTACAAAGTCCTTGAGTGGGCACATGTAACGATTGACTGTCTTGCTTCCGGTCTCAACTGCTGTTGTGACATGCTGAAATAGACAAATAATATATCGATAGGACAATTATCTCACAATACGACTTCACTTATATCAATAGGATATATGTCTCAAGACGAAATCCCTTGCAATATAAATAGAACATTTGACGCATGAAGAAATCACTTGAAATATAAAAAGGACATTTGTTTCATATACGACAGCTCGATATCACTGAAATCAATAGGACATTTGTCTTATAGCAGGAAATCATTGCAATATCACTACTACTCACAGGGCGATATCACTTATACAGATAGGACAATTATGCCATAATACGATATCACTTATTACAATAGGACAATAATCGCCATAGGACAATATCACATATCCTTAAATAAGAATTTGATATAATTATGTAAACAACAATTAATGTATTAGATATTGTTTGCCAATTAGGTTCCTTCATTTTCAAGACATATGTAACACAACAAACTCATTCTGTTAAAGAAGTTGTGCTCTTAACGTATAACATGAACAATAATACAGAGGTAAATCTTATGGCAAGCTGTTAGATTTTTCTAATTAAATTAAGTCAAAAATAAAGGTTGTAACAGTTTTTGTAAGTTACTTACAGTGCCCCATGTATCTAAGAATTGCTTGAAGATGGCTTGATCATATGTGATAGGGAGTTTGCATACGGCAGCGGCGAACTCGTCGGAGAGTTTGTAATGGTTGCCCTGTGCGAGTCCAAGCTTGTAACGAGCACTTCCGGATGTGCATGTATTCTGGTCATCTTGGAAGACGTAAAAGTCTCGGCGTGTTTGTTGATCAATTGCTTTATATCCTGAACATAGAAAATGATTTATTTTTTTATTTTATTTATTTATTTTATTTACTTATTTATTTATTTAATCATTTATTTATTTATTTATTTACTTATTTAAAATTAGATTTGAAAAATAGTTTTTATTTATTTATTTTACTTTATTTATTTATTTATTTATTTATTTATTTAAAATTAAGAGTTGAACAATAATTATTTCTCTCTCAAAAGGAAGAAGTTTCCTTACGGTAAAACAATCACACATGCTTATCACGTACGTGACGTAATAATTGTTTTGCTTATCTATTTGCATGGCGTTGTACAATGTAAAGATCTAAAGTGAAATGTCTAGTCTGTTCTTATGATATATGTATCTTAAAGAAAGGGGAAATGATAGTCACTTCTAGTCAGTATGATTTTACATAACATAGATTTCAAAACATAGATTAATATAGTATATATAAATTTATCTCACCGTTACTCATGGTAAATGCCTTATCAAGGAGAACATCATTGTTAGTGCCTGAAAAGAAAAGAAAGATAACAATTATCATAACGTGTAACGGAATTTGTATACTTAATTACATCATATTAAACAGAATATTATAAAATGTAAAATTAAACTTACTTCTAACGACTATGTTTACTTTTCATTTTATGCCATTGTACTTAACTTGTGTTATTGAAACTAAACCGACTTTTTCTGTTTTCCATGTTAGAGATGATTAAAGTGACTGAACAAAAAGGAATACAATTCTAATGGTTTGAAATCTTAGAGACAATCCAGTATAATGATGAAATAAATTAGGTATATGTTCATTAAGCTCAAAAGTGCCTTTTTTCTCTAATAAAGCTTTTCTGTTATTTTATATCTTCTATTGAAGTCAAAATACCTCTTTACGTCTTACTACTTTTCTGACAAATCATTTCGAATTCAAAGATGCTTTCTTCCAGTGATAGGCATATCTAATTCATGATAGATATTATTATGTGTCTTTAATACACACCTGATGACTGTACTCTTTCAAGGAGTTTGTTCTGGTATGATTTTTGATCGCTGAAGAATGAGAATTCGTGCGCATTTCTGCATTGATCATGGTGCTCGTACACAAGTTCGGCTGGGACTTGGTCATAACTTGACAGGGACAGAATCTTCCTGGTACTCAACAAGCCTGGGTCATCTCCGCCAGATGCCCAAAAGTCACCGTCGGGATTTCCTCTTAGCATGTTATATCCGACGCCAATGTAGTGAAGGGCTTCCGGCAGTGAAGCGGCATAGCTGACAGCAATGTGTAGACATACACACGCACATATACTAACCGACCGCATGCTTGTTGGTAATTATCTGAATAAAATAACACACAAAAAAACTGAAAATAATTTACGAATTAATGAAATATATAATTATTTTCAAGTCGTTGCCAAAAATTTGAATGCCAATAACTGGTACAATGTATATGGATTATGGTTCATATGATGGTGGTTTATATCTAGGAAAGTAAGTTATTTGAATTGCATAATGTTTGTAAAATAAATTTTTGTAACGAAGATTCTCTAGAAATGTTGTCATACTACTTGTAAAGATTAATTGCAAGGTTAAGTTCTAGACCTAGCCTGATAGACACTATAGAAATAGACTATACAGATGAATAAATGTTATTGTCAATGTTGTTTTGTAATTGATGTAGAAGATGAATTTCATTTTATCTTTATAAACCTGTGTAAAACTTTTGTTCGTATCGAATATAGTTACAAATATATCTAAAACATTGGCATGTATTTGATAGTGTTACTCTGAATTGTATTACTTTGTGTATGATGATGTAAAAACAGAAATTTATTTGCAGTTTTGTTGTTCATCTGCTCTATTGGATAAATTATAAAATTGATCACTAATTAATAGTGAACTTATTCGTCTAAAAAACTCTTACATTTTGCACATTTTCTATAAAGCGTAACATAGATTGTGGGATATTAATTCTTTTCTCATACGTTTGATGTATATTTTTTAAGTTTAATTTTGTTACTTTGTTGATTCGTGATCCCATTTCACTTGTTTCTTTGGTTCACGAAATCATTTACCTGACTCGAATAAAATGAATAACAATACAAAAGATTATTTGATTTAAAATCTTACATAAATGACTTCTAAAGAAAAATGAAGGCAAATAAAATGCCAAAGTCGTGACCTATCAAGGGAGTCAACCATAGATGATGATAAAATTTCAATTTATGAAAATATTAAAGTTCTAAATATTGTATGGTTCTATTTGCACAAGATAAACTCTGTACGAATAATTATCAGGTACTAAAGAGAACCTACTAAGATAAGCTCTAAGTGACGAGGACATTTGCAAAGACGGCGTAAATACTGGCTTTAATCCTAGATAACCCAGAATACAGAATATTATGTCTGATTAAGAAATAAATGTACCTTAAATTCATAAATTCACATTATAGAAATTTATTGAAAGCAATGTAATAGCTATGAAATAAAAGATTGCGAAGTAAAACAAGTGGGTTTAAGAAAATTCGAAGTATAATACTATTAATTTTATGTATAATACAACTAATTTTATGATAATTTGTAAAAGGATCCAATAAATGATTGTGGAGCATCTAGTTTGTATTCAATGATTTATATGCAAAGGTATGTATGTAACTTAAAACAGAACGTATTGTCATTAAAAAAGTCAAATTATAGTAGCTTTGTCCCAAATAAAAGGCGGTCTTGCAAACAATGACAAAAATGAATTACGTGTAATACAATTTAAGCTTTTCTGATAACAGACTTGTAAAGCGATCCGTTCTTATGTTATATGAATTGGAGTTTCAAATCATACCTGATGACATTTCAGATAAAAAAAGTTTTTGCACGGTTATTTTCCTTGCACATTTGGTAGAGGTCACCCCTAAAAGTTACTTTGCTGAATAGACATTTTATTTTTAAAGGGTCCTTGTTTCTAGACGATAAAAAAAAAACAGGCACACTTAAAATACTACCATTCATGGTAAAGGTAAAGTAGACTGTCTGAATTCCCTTTCGTCCTGGTACCTTCACGTCAACGGAAGAATTCATTTTCAGTGTATAAGAGACGCTACAAACAACTGATAGTTCAAAATGTCTATTTCCGTTTGATTAAGATTAGGAGGGATTTGTTTAAGTGTCGGGGGTACTTAAATGAATACACACTCGAAAAATGTGGGTCAAACCGAAGTATCTTCTGCGCTTTGAAACTATGTCATTCAAGTTCTGCACAGTTGCAATGGAATTGTTTCAATCTCTTATAAATCTAATCTCGTATATTTAAAGTTTATATTTGAATTCGTCCAAGTTTTGCTATACAATACTTATAGTAATCAGAAAGTTCATAGAGCTACATGTCTTAACTTGTTCTGTATTTATAAGAATAAACCATGTTAATGGTAAAATGGAAAAACTTACATGAATAAAAGAGATTTACAGCTTTCAAAAAAAATCCTTCTCAACTTTAGACAGCACAAGTTACTCAAATAAAGACTATAATGATAATAAAAATGTCAAGAAAATGTTGCCCATTTATACTTCTTCCTTCTCATATGTAGTCTATTTTTGCCAGACATTGCGGTTTAAATGGGTCATGACGTCGTGTCATTCGGTGTATTATCAAGATACTCGAGTGCTTTTGCAGAGAAGAGGCCAGCAGGTGACTTCCATTGCAAATGCGATGGGAATATCAGACTTGTTCGTCTGCTCTGATTATTAGTCATTGCAAATGCAACAAATCAATTAAAAAAGACTTTCCTGTCAAATGCATTGAAGGATATATCCAAAATGAAAAAAAAATTGTTTGAATGTAAGTATGAACACATATGCGGATGTTTCTAAATCAAATTTCATCATTATCGTGTTTAAATGTTGAATTCTGCTTAAGTCGGTGCTAGGGGGCATGGGCGGTAACTTGCACTTTCTAATACCATCCATGAGCAGGCTCAATCAAACCGATCCTTCAACATTTTCAGTTTTGGCGTTTTTTTGGCGTTCTTTAGGGATTCTTTTTTTCTCTATTTGTTATTTCCGTGAATGAAAAATTAAATGAGTTGTTTGTAAAATAGAAATAAATCTGCATTGCCATTTGAAATTGTTTTGAATTTGCCATGCATGACACTAAACTACATGTTATTTGCATTCGTGTATTCTTCATTGTTTAATTTATTTACATGAATGTGTTGTTTGGAAATAAAAGTAAAACCATATTGTCATTTGAAATTGTTTGAATTTAACATGCACGAAACTATAAACTATATTGCAAAAGCCATCCTGATAACCACTGATTCACATTCGCATATTTTATAACTATTTAATTTTTATCTAAAAATATCATTTTGAACAGTGAATTAAACTTTATAACAGGACGTTTCCTTTGTTTTCAAATATGTTATAGTGTATGTTCTTCTTCTAAAAAAAGGTCAAATAAAAATTTAAAAAGACCTTTGATTTGCATATAAAAATTAACGCTTTTACATATCTTAGCAAAGGATAAAGCCGGGCCTCTGTTACAGAATCAAATTAACGTAAATACAAACTTCAGCCTAGAATAATGGCAAAACTTTCGTGATATCAGGGTCAGTTTTACTACGTACGAAAAATTCGTCATGATGGCAAAATAGTAAACAAAGTTAACCGCAAACTCTCTGTACGAGAAAACTATTTACCTATTTACTGCTAATCGTGATATATGTGTGTGAAAAGTGTACTTTGTTTGACAGCGAGTTCACCTCAAACGGTTCTTTAAACTTCCTTAATTTATGTCTGAGTGCATATAGAGATAAGATGAAATGATATAAAATAGTTCAAATGGGAACCCTAAAGGTTGCCCATCAGGTTTTCATTGCATTTAAAATGTTGCAAGTCTATTCATGGATACGAGTGGTTATTGGAATCCGCGTTTGTACCCCGGACCCCATAGCACCGGCTAAATCATAAATCTACATTCAAAATAGTATACGTTAGAGCTAAGTAATATCCATAGATGTGTTCACTCAGCGATCATCAGGGAACAGACATGGTGCATGTGTAACTCTATGAGTCCCCAATTAAAATACATGTAGTAAGTTCAATTTGAACACAAAAAAGTAAATTAAGATAAAGCAAATATTAACTTATCTGAAAGCCCAAAACAAAAAAAGAACATCAAATACAGGAAGAAAACATTTGTGTCTTTACAAAAATTAAACTTTTTATTGATATTGTGTTTGTCCTATTATTACTATTGCAATCATTTATATATCTATGGAAACATAATTGTTTTTAAAATATCTAAGTAGCATTGATGAAATATTTAGTATTAAAGTCATCATAAATTTACTCCAGTAGCAGAAAATGATTTTAAGTATTCATATTTATACATAGAATATATTTTAATTAATAATAATAATAAACAATAATTAATTCATGAACATATGATTAATTAATTATTCAAATTATACAATAATTTTTCATAAAGCTTGCATGAAAGAGGCATTATATTCTACATACCCTTTAAAGAACAGGTCCTGTAGCCGAAATGCAACACTCCTGTTCCGATAGCAAAGTGACCCGTTAAAGATACTATCTTGCTATATATATACCCTGAACAGAAGTCATCATGTACCCTAAACGCGGTAACCTGTTATAAATTGATACACACTTAATTGAAAGGTAGCGTATCATGGTGGGGGTTATTCACCATTCCATTGGAATCAACCCGTTGTCCGGCGCAATACGTGAAGCCTAACACTATTTACTACGTGCTCTGGTGTTATGTTTCAGTATACAAATTGAACTCACAAATTCTGGCCATTATGAAATATTTCTTCGAGCTATTTTTTAGTTTTATTTTGTGCATCATTGAAAGGTTTTTAAATAGAATTGGCTAAAGAATTATACTAATATCTGCATTCATACGCTTTTGTCCACATTGAAGTGCTTTTTCAAAAATATGTAGTTTAAAAATCATTATTGTGTTAATAATCCAAAGCATGCAACAGCAACTCTCGAAAACATGATAACTTTAAAATATAAGGATGCAAAAGATGAAATATAAGGATATAATAACCATTCTGATAAATGAATCAGAACTCATAAAGACTTTCATATCTTGACATATATTACATAAATATTATGATTAGACATGATGTCTGAATGTTGAATTTTGATGGGCATAGTTGTATTTGTGGGCAAGGTTCTTTATTTTTACAATTGTTTTCATACCAAATTTGCATATCCTTATGAAAGGTTATGCAGAAATCCTTTCTTGGCATTGTTACTGATATTTTGTGTATACCCTTTGCCTTATGTACAAGCTGCAATAGCTTTGATTCTAATACGTTTCTAGTTGAAGATTATAGATCGTTTAAGGAACTCCGATTGTTTTACTCAGGTGCCCGTTCCTGTCTGAAATAACGCACCTTAGATCTTCCTCCACCAGTAAAACTTGAAAGTTGCCATATGACCTTTGCAGTATTGGTGCGAGTTTAAACCAACCAAAAAACGAATAACGTTTAAGCCGGTGCTGGGGGTACTTAAGGGTGTTGCATTTTCAATTATATCATCTGTACAGACTCGATAAAACCGTGTTTAGAGTTTCAAACTATTAACTCCTGGTTTAATTGCTCGCAAAGGATCTTACTAGAGTGTTATGCCTAATTTATACATTTGTATTATCTACTAGAATACTTTATAATACCGGTATTATTAAGATCACCTATTTAATACGTGTTCTATAAGACTTTTACCAAACAGGGGATTATTGTACCTTTCAAAACAAACTTACCATTCCTAGTCATACTTTTGTTTTTAATTCCTATGAACAAATGTCTTTTTGTTCACAACATTTGGAGAGTTAAAATACGCAATTGCACTCACGTCAAAAAGCAATCTTCTACAAAGACAAACATCTTCAAGTTAAGGACTTGTAAACGATGACGTATTACATTTGTAATCAAAGGTAAGAAATCAATCTGCGTCATAAATTTGAAGTTGAACCTTCTTACATAAATCAAAGTCCAAATCACTTAACACTCGGAAATTTAGAACAAAATTTAAATCACACGAGACAGAAAGTTTGACAATTACCCTCGATAAGATTGTGATTTTGACGATCTATTTATTCTCAGTATTATATTGTTTCTTTATGTCAAACCTGTTTGGAGATTTTACCACACGCAGACTTCAAAAGGTACCACATTTTGATTAGCACATGAAATAAATGTTAATCTACAGGATCATTATTTATACTACCAGACTAGTGACCCTAATATTTATTAAACAATTACGGAACTTTTAAAGATTATGTTAATGTGGATTTGAAAAGAACTGACTCAACGAAATTGATAGAATAACCCCCAAATGTGATTGAATTCAAATATACGAAGTCGGTAAATAAATGAGTATTGAATCAAGGAAATATCAAGGCGTTGGTCCATTGTTGTAAAGTCAACGTAAAGACGGTGCCTTGCGTACCCCGCAAAGTGGAGAGAGATTAATGGCTCTTTTGACTCTATTGTCTGGGACACTATTGCCAAATTAATATCGCCCCATAGCAACACAAAAGGTAAACTTGTTTTGGTTGGTTTTGATATGCCGGTGTGCGGTATCCATAAAATTATCATATACAATAACATACTTTCCTGCGCACCGGTCGAATGTTTCACTATCGCTCACTGTCTGAAGTATCTTGAGTGTATTCAGTGAGCTGCAAAGGGATCGTAATGAAAACAAAGATTGTTCATGCAGGACACAACCCTCGGCAACATCCACCAAACCATAGAGGCACTCGGCATGGCGCCGCACAGAAACGGGACAAAACGGGAATGGCAATGTGGCGCAGCATGAATGATGTAAATGCAATACATGTATAATACTATTGCGATTTCTATTTGAATTATTTCGAATGTTTATTTCCCTTTTCAGTGGTGTTCTTGTAAATTTAACTTGTACCAGTTAAGTCTTGAACATAATATTTATCTGTTGAATTTTTGTTTGTTTTCTTTTAGTTGCATCAATCTGTTGTTGTTACTTTCCAGTACCAATTGCCAGCGGAATGTCATTGTATGTTCATTAAATATATTACCAAGCATTTTCAAAAACCTCTGTTGAGCCTGTGATACTCTTACAGCTACATGTATATGGAAAGAGGTCTACTTTATATTATATATTTGATGTTTCCCATGATCAAATTCACGTCTACTGTAACATTTCCAACGTTTATCTCTGCGTGGTCGCAAGAGGCGATTAATGACTAAATGGGTTCGAAAAACTGGAGTTTATGTATCTATTAGCTCCAGCAGGTGAGGTGGTTTTGACCCCTGACGTTGCTTTGAAGTTTGTAACACCTGAGGTTAGCCAAAAACATCTTTACTATTTCGGCGCCATATGACCTATACTGTGTTGGTGCGCCGTGAAACCAAACAAACAATATAAGAATAGATATTTTAAATGTACTTTAGTGGCTCTGTGCTTGTTTAGAAGTCGCAAGGAATTAACAGGAGGTTGTGTGCAATTTAAAAATGTCGCTAATTTTCATTAAGACAAATTATTCAAGAAATAAGTCATAATTCAAATAAAATATCGTCCCCTTTTATCATTGTGACCTATTTCTTGAACCAATGAAACAACAAACTCATGCACGTTCCTCTTATCTGATAAAAAAGAAAACGAAACGAATAACGAGAAAAAAAACTAAATTTTAAGAAGAAATGAAAGTAAACAAATGTATAGCGTAAAGCGTTTTTTCAAGAAAGATATTACATTTAATAGCCTTGTCGTTACTTTAAGTCATTATTTCTGCTAAATCACGATTATCACTTTCTATTAAATTCTGCTTTATTATACGGTCATTTCATTTGCCACCCATTTTCATTCAGATATATTAAGAATGTTATCACTTTATAAAGATAGTAATATATGCTTAATCCATTCCCGCCTACAACCAACATGTCCTGCCCCTCTTCAATAATCATTAATTTTGCGCGTACGCCAAAGTCATTTTATCATAGTTAGATGTCGTCTGCTAAGTTCATGTATTTAAAGGGTTTATCGCCGTAATTAGTATGGGTCTTTGGCGACCACATCTTACAATATATCAAAAGCTGTCATTACAGAGGGCATATTTAAATATGAGGGTTTTAAAAAGCTGCTTTGATCTGTTTTTATTCTGCAAATAAATGTAGTAATATGTCGATTTTTCATTAATGATTTCCATTTTTTAAGGTCGGTAAACGTTTATATTATTATATTGATATGGCAATCACAGTTTTAAACTGTTTAAGCTTTTAGAAGTGCCCTTGTAGACACTAACTGACATATTTATATTACATTTGAACATGTGTGAAACATGTTAGTTTTGTTTTGCATTACAATATGAAAAATACAAAACATTTATTAATTTTCATTTTTTCTGTCAAAAAATCATCATCAAAACAATGTGGTAGGGGCGTGGACGGTAACTTTCATTTTCCAGTACCGTTCATGAACAGGCTCAATCAAACCGAGTCTGCACCATTTTCATGTATGTTCTTTTGTGTGTTCCTTAGGGATTCCGTTTTTCTCTATTTTAGCAGCAATATATTTTTTGTACATTTGAGAAATTAACAATCATTTAATACTTTAAAATTCTATGATTGTTTTGTTACTTTACGTCACTTTACCTCAATTGTTATTGAAAACTTCTGGTTTTGCATAATTAAGTACAGTGATAGGTCAATATAAAAAATAATGATATAATATGAACTGTAGCCTGTTACATTTTTACAGCATTTTGGCATAGCCTGAATTTTAAAAGCAGTAAAAGCAATTTGGATGTGCTTGTTTTTTTCTTTTGTTTCCTATTTAAGATACCATGCGTTTATAATCTCAATAACAGAATAAAAAAATAAAAATTATGCATAGAAAATAAAACATCTACAATTTAGAGAAAGCAGAATGTGTCTACTGTAAAACAAGCGTGATAATAATTTGTCTTATAAGTCTTTTATAAAGTAACGAAACGAAGTCGATATAATTTCGATCAAGCCATTATGGACATCTCCAGGCTAAATTCACATAATGTTGAGCAGATGCAGAACATAAACATCTAAACAGCCATTTTTGTGTTTTTGTGTTTATAAAAAGCATGGAAGTGTTATTTATTTGTTAATACAAAACACGATAAAGTTTTGGATAATCTACATTCAAATAAAATAGTAACAGATTTTGTGTGCATAAATGGATTGTAAATCTTTTATCCTGAACTGTTCAATACTGCATTTCTATTTGGATAAATTTATCACAAAACCCTGTTATATATTAAAACTGAGACAAATGTACTACGACTTTAGGATAAGTATAACAATTCAAAAATCTAGTAATAATTTACATCTTAAGTGCGATTAATAACCGATTTGTCAGTATTTATAACTCTATTTCTACCGCGTTACTTACGCAGTTAAGGCTATTTCTGCATATTTTGACCTCTTCACAGTAATTTACATGGGATGTAAGTGCCATTAATAATGTGTAAATTGCATTATATTCGTTACTTCACAATATCATTCTGTTAAATACATTTTCAAATTTTCATGAAAATTAGCATGAATCTGGAGGCGTGCTGTTTTAAAGCACACAAAATAATACTATACATATAAATTGAAACAAGAGGGTCATGATGGTATTGGAGTCGCTCACCTGGATCAAGAGTGCCATAGGGACATTTTACTACTGCAGTACTGTCTTCAGGTTAATTCCAGGAAAGTTTACAAAGTTCTTGTACTTTAAGTATTGTGACAAATTATTCTGTTCTAAAAAGTATTTTCCATGCACGGGTAAGTATGATATAAAATATAAGGAAAAGGGACCAGCGCACTGCATGACGATTTTAAAGAGGATTCTTCAATTACTTTTATCTCTGTTGATGAAATTTCAATTTATTACCTGAAGATTATAACAAAATAATAAATAGCTTAAAATACTGTGTTTTTATCCCGGAACTATCATTTATTATCACTACTAACACTGATTTTCTTCACTAAGAAAAGGTGCATTAAATATTATCAAATATCAATTATAAGTATTGTCATGCATTTAACAGATGAATATTAATTTTGATTTACCAATGTGATAAATTGTCCGTTATTTTTATGAATGATTATGTTCTTGTCCTTGTTAATGCGGTTTTTTTCCAATGGGAAATATTTCCATGCGACTTGCCTAAATTGCCTTTAGATCAAAATTGTGTTGATGTTAAATGAACATATGAAAGTCACTAATCACTCTCTTAAAATATGCACTCATCTGCCCCTATGTGATAAAAATATCTGTGTGCCTTTCCACTTTTATCTGTGATTTAAAATGAAATCGTTTTTTCCTCTACTTCACGTTCTATATACAAATCAAAGGGCTGCAATCTCTGTGGCATTTTCTGATCTTTGCAATCTAAATCGTACTGTATATCTATATGTATTTTCTGTATAAGTTTATTCTCATGTACTATAATTCATCTTGCAGGGCACCACGGAATTTTGCATGGCTAGAGTTGCATCAAAAAATCATTTAGTACATTTTTATGACAGCCACACTTTATCCTTGCATATCGTGACTAGTTCCTTAACAAAAACACTTTAAAAAAAACAGTTGCCTCGACTGGGATTTAACCTCAGACCTCTCACACTATAAACGAGCGCGTTACCCCTGCACTACGGTGAAGGTTATACGAAGAGAGCCTGAATAAAATCAAGTAATTCTAAATTTATATAATTTCCATTGCATTTCGTTTTGTAATCCTTATTAATTTGAGGTATTTTGTTCACGATCAATCTGTTGTTTAACATTGATGTAAATAATTTAGCGAAAATCTTCTCGCCAAAACAATCCGACATGTATAAATTGCACTACTCGACATTCAGATACGCACTGAAGTATTCAATAATCGACATCGCTAAAAATAGCATTTTCATTGATTAAAATCATATTCATCCGCGTAATTTGTGATTGTGCATTCATTGACAATTTTATAAGCCAACGCTACTTTTAAACTTTGAATGCGTTGTAATTTGTTGGATACTTGTAACAAAATAAAATATCTTTTTCTTAAAATCGCTAGTTTTAAGCTGTTTTGAGAACTACTTGTTGTTAGGTTTGTCGGGAAGAGATTGAATGTCAGCTTTGTATTTCCTGATCTTCGATCAGAAAATACAATCAAAGCACAGAAGGCGCTTAATTTGTTTGGGTCTCAGAATGTCAGAAAGGTGAAGGTTGTGAGATTATAAACCAATTTGTTTTTGTATAGTGCCACCAATGCTTTCCAGCGTTTTAATTGTAGTAAATTGGCTATAAGACTAATTGCAACACTGATATTCAATTCAATGTTTATTTGACTTAAACAATTTGAAAAAAAATGAGTTGCCTTAACTGGGATTTGAACTCCAGACCTCTCGCTTCCTAAGCGAGCGCGCAAACCCCTTGGCCACGGTGAAGTTCTATGATAACGGCCTGAAGAAAACCATATTATTCTAAATTACGGTTTGAAACGACGCTAACTGTTTGTTTAACACATATGTAAATAATCATGGAGTTTACTATAAGCTTGTATATCTATAAATAATAAAACAATATAAGAAATCTTCGACCATTCAGGAACTATTTTGCTTGAAAATTAATGCGCCTGTCATTTGACCATCTTTCCGCAGTGATCTCCCCTGAATTTTTGGGCGTTTAGTGTTCATATAAAAGGAAGTAACCGCTTCAAAAAAGCGGACTACTTTCGGCATTTGCAATTAACAGCATCAGAGTCTGAAATTTCGCTACCATTATTTGTTTGGTCTGACGACCCAAACAAATAAAAACTGCTCTTCACGCGAAAACATAATTCAGAAGTCAAAGCGCTCTATTACTATCCCATGTTCCAAGAGACATGAGAATATAGAGGCAAACAGTTTTAAAAACGAAATTCGTAAGATTTGAAAATGGTCACACAGGCTAGCAAAGATAGGCAAAATTCCGGTTTTGGGCGTTACAAGAACTATCTTACACGTCAATTAATAGCTCCGACAACCACTGAGCAAATTGGACGTGTAATTCATATATATAAAATGACCAAGCATTTAAAATATTTCTTAATAAATATAACGCTCGGGAAATACTTAGTAACCGTTAGATCAGGATTACCATAGCTGAGTATTTTTAAAGATACTTCTTGTTTTTATAATATATTTTTATTTGAACTTGAATTTATCTTATAATATCTGCTACCTTCTCTACTCGTAAAAAGTGAGAGCATCGGATTAGAAACTCGTCGGTGGTTCGATCCTCGAGGACAAGGAGTAATTTCTCCTTGCCCTCCATCATGTGTTGAAAAACAACAAACAAATAACATTTTTTTCTCTTCAAACTTATTCATATATTTCTAAGGTTGTAATATCTTTCGAATGCATGTTTATCTTTTTAGATGAAAATCTTATTCTTATTCCAAAAGTTACTGACAGACTTCCACCACACAATCAAGTAAACGGCTGGTCACGTGATTAATGAAATGCTTTTTAAAGTAAAATGCCAAAGAAAAATGTAAAAAGGAACAAAAATAGTAAATTTGACTCGTGAAAAAAATCTTGAAATGTGTTTCATTAGTTAAAACAATAAAATGCTACAAAACAAACGCCATGGTTACCTTGTATATTAATTCAATTGTTATTCATATATTATTAACTCAGAATGCAATGTCATAGTTGAGAATGTTGAATGATGTTTTCAGCATTTTATTTGTCATTGGTATTAATAAGGATAATTTTCATTGCATCATATAGATACAAGAAATGAGATATATAAACATTCATTCACTGAAATAGTGAAGATAATTTACTCAATGATAGTTAGTATAATTACTATGTCTTTCAGAGTAAATTAAGCACATTTGAAACAAAATAATGAAAAAAAAATCTGTTCATTAGTATTCTTGCCAATGAAAAGAGGAACATTTTTTGATATAGTTTTTACAGAAAACAACAACAACAACAACAAAACAAAGCATTCAAATGTTCCTAAAAAGAGGATTGTAAAAATATCACTTTTATTGGTTTTTTAAAATTTGGTTTAGAAATTATGTGTGTATATTTTTCACGTGACCAGCAAAAATTGAAAAATAAGCCTACTTGTCGTGTGGTTTATGTCCATCAGCACAAAATCTAATAAGAAATTATTTCGACGTCTTCAATTTCCAAGACGTCTTCTTTTAGTCCATTTCCGGTCAAGATGTCTGCAACAGAAGCACGTGGGGCATTTGGTATCTCAATCAAAATGTCACTAGAACTTACACACAACTTGTGTGGATCTGTGTCGATTTTCTTCAAAATCCTTTTCTCTTTCCTTTTCTCAAACCATGCCATGATAAATCCAAAGCAGCTTGTGAACTTTCCGCGTTCTTTTTTGTCGTCTGCAACTTCGATTTCAAGGAACGCTTCACGTGGCTTATGGACATCGTGATCATCTTTCTGAGAGACTTCTTTATTGGCTCTCTGCTTTTGCTCAGCCTGAAATAGATATCACCAGATGTTGATATGAAGACAAAAGTGAAATGCAACTGTCGTAATTTTGCAACATCTGCAAAAGGGGTTGTTTTTCATTAATGTGAGCATTGGTTTCATATAATACCACTAATTGATTAATTAGAGGCACATTATGTGTCAGAAACAAATAGTTTGTTCCTTCTTTAAACAGAGAGCAAACGTAATTTTTATAATGTCTAAAAAATTGTTTGAGAGCATGTTAGAAAGTAGTTACACGAAGAAAGTAGCGCTGAATGTGGATTATTTTGTCATAAAAGTAACAAAATGTAAACAGATAAGTACTTCATTGTCCAACAATATTGACCTGGCACTTCATTAACTTTCGTAAAGGTCACTGGATAAACACTGGTTTCTAACGAATATTGTACAATTATTGACTAGTGAGCCATTGAATATGATGTGATATTCACCGGCAGATGACATATTGACCGAGGCGATATTCAATGGCTCACTAGTCAATAATTGTTTTATTATATGTCAGAATACATGAATAGGCAAAGAATTAGATAAAAATCACAAAAAGTACAACCTTAAACACATGTACAAATTTTGCCTTGCTGAAGCGTGAGAAAAAGGCGCACGTGTTAGGCATACTACGCATACACAAATAATTCAAGTTTATACTTATCATTGCAATGTAGCCTTTAAGTATAATAGTAAAGTAATGATATTTTAACCATAAAGATCCATACGCAACAATTATCGCGTAATTAACAGTCATTGAATACGAGTCTCGATCTATTTTTAGACTGGAAAATCCATATCAAACCGTGAATACGATACTACACCAAGTGAATATGATTTTATAAAAAGTTCTGCTGACAACTGTTTGGACCAATGAGATTTCAGCTTTATTTAGATCATATAATAAATCACTTCATACGTCGTAGGACTACTGATCTGTGGGTCTATGGTTCGATACCTAACCAACACCACATTATGGAGATCCGCATTTTTTATGCCCCCACAATGTGGGAGCATATAGCGTTGCACTTGTCCGTCCGTCAGTCCGTCAGTCTGTCAGTCCGTCAGTCCGTCCGTCCGTCCGTACGTCCCGAAATCTTGTGAACGCAACTCCTCTTAAACCGGATGTCAGATTTTGCTTAAACTTACAGGGATGAACAACCTTAATGTGTAGATGGTAGTAAAGGAAGGAATTTTTGCTGCGACCAAATTTAACAGAATTATGGCCCTTTGTTGATTTTTTCACTAGCTACTATGTAGAAATTTTGTGAACACAACTCCTCTTAAACCGGATGGCAGATTTTGCTTAAACGTACAGGGATGAACAACCTTAATGTGTAGATGGTAGTAAAGGAAGGAATTTTTGCTGTGACCAAATTTAACAGAATTATGGCCCTTTGTTGATTTTTTCACTATATACTATGTAGAAATTTTGTAAACGCAACTCCTCTTAAACTGGATGGCAGATTTTGCTCTAACTTACAGGGATGAACAACCTTAATGTGTAGATGGTAGTAAAGGAAGGAATTTTTGCTGCGACCAAATTTAAAAGAATTATGGCCCTTTGTTGATTTTTTCACTATATACTATGTAGAAATTTTGTGAATGCAACTCCTCTTAAACCGGATGGCAGATTTTGCTTAAACTTCCAGGGATTAACAACCTTAATGTGTTGATGGCAGTAAAGGAAGGAATTTTTGCTGCAACCAAATTTAACAGAATTATGGCCCTTTGTTGATTTTTTCATTAATTACTATGTAGAAATTTTGTGAACGCAACTCCTCTTAAACCGGATGGCAGATTTTGCTTAAACTTCCAGGGATTAACAACCTTAATGTATAGATGGTAGTAAAGGAAGGAATTTTTGCTGCGAACAAATTTAACAGATTTATGGCTCTTTGTTGATTTTTAGTTTTAACTTGTGGCACATGTAGTCCAAAAAATATTTGACCTAGAGTCATAAGATTGACAGAACAGTGGCTTGTGGGGGCATCAGTGTCCTATGGACACATTTCTAGTTTTATTATATTTTGGAATTTACTTGCAAGAATTACTTTGAAATTATTTCATTACATTATCTTTTATTTTAAAAAAGGGGCAGCGCGTTTATAATACAAATTAAAAATACTACATAAAAAAGACTAAAAAAATCAAAACGTTTTACATGTGTTTAAAGAAAAATGGATTTTTTTAAAATTAAAAAAAAATAAATAAAGAAATAAACTCTGACCTTTTTCTTTTTTCTGCTCTTCTTTGTTGTTTTCTTTTGCTGTCTTTTTGACAACATCTTATCTTTTTTCCCTAACTCTTCGTTCATTTCTCTTCTATCTTCACGGTTTCCAAGTATTTCTAAGTACATTTCCGAGATTCTTTCTAATCTTTCCTTTTCACTGTCTTTCTTCGTATCGCTTTCGTTCCTGATATTGACGGCCGTTTCAACTTTTACTATGTGAATGTTTTTGGCATCCAAAACAGACGATAATGGATTTTTCTCTACTTTTTCAACCATTTTTTGGCTGTGGAGAATATTTTCGCTGTCTTTTGTTTGTGACCAGCATCATTTTGTTAATGCCGTCGTCAAGTGACGTCTTGACGTTCAGTCTTCTATGACGTCATTGAAAACGTCATTGACGCTGTACCCATCTCAAGTACATCTCAAGTTCTAGTACTTGTAGATTGCACTTTCCAGTAATGTCCATGAACAGGCTCAACCAAATCAAGACTGCACCATTATGTCTCCTGATCATGGTCTGTACGGTTCGTTATACAGTCTGTACATATTATGAAATTTTCCCTAAAAATGATGAATGGTTTTGTCCAGATTGATATTTTCATTCAGCAGATCTTTAGCGTGGTAACGGTGTTAAAGGGATATTAGACGAAACTGTTTAGAAATTCTACGGTTTAAAATTAGATACAAATTTGCGTGTGTGAATGAAAATTGTGAAACAGGATAATAGGCATAAACAAATTTGTAAAAATTTCGTATTACACTATTTCAAAATGTGTCCTATTTAAATTTTTGTCTTGTGAGAGTCTCCAGTACGTTATATAAACATATTTCAGGTTAAAGAAGAAGTGTGTTACTTTTATCGAATAAACTTTGACCTCTTTTTTACTTTTTGGCTTGACCATATTTGATAAAATGGCATTTTAAGAAGCTCTAATATTGTATGTAAAGTGAAGAAAATCTAGACATAACTCTCACAAAGGTCTGATAAAGGTCGTGTGATAAGGCTTATCTTAAAGAAGGGACAACGGACGGCAATATGGTAGGTCTTACTCGTTCTTCATTAAAACTTATGCCTACAATTTTCAAAGATAGAACGCGAAATGCATTGACATGTTACTTAAATGTTTTCGCCTGATTCTTTAATTGTTCTTCTGTTATGTTTAGAAAATATTACAGACCAAATACTATCTCATAGACTGTTTAGTTATATCGTAATGGCCTTGTTTTAATGGCAGCACTTCATTTGATATGGAGAAGTAAAACTATCTTAAGGAATCGCACTTAAATATATTCCAAAAGCATCGGCGAGGAATCGGCCCTAAACTATCACAATTAAATTGTGTGCCTTCAAAACTAAGTGAAATGTCGCACACATACTGCATAAAACAAGTATCTAACTCAATGTCATAAAGATATATAATTATCACGTAAGTATTCATGTATGTTTTTAGTTTTCAAGATACCTTTGTCTGGCTTTTCTATTCTTTGGAGCGCATGCGCAGCTTAACCCCGGATCAGTTTCCGGCGGAAGTTCCACCAGTGGAAGCAGTATTGGATCTACAGGAGGATTTCCGTTTCCTCCAATGGTTCCTCATGCACCTAATGCTATCCATCATGTTGGTGTTTCATACAATCTACTGAAGGGTATGTCATGAGAGTATAAATTACGTTCTTGATCAAATTTTTAGTATTTTGTGCCAGTGCTAAGACTTGACTTCTGTAGTATATTCATAGAAGATGTAACTATATGTATAACAATCTCAATAACCGAAAATTTGCTAATTTGTAAACAAAATGTACGCAAAAGACTATTCGATATCTTATACAGTGTATTTACATTTTTTCAGAAATTCTAAGAGAAATCCGATTATACATGTATATCCCATTTCAAAGATAATTTACATAATTTCAGAATTTTCTTCACTTTTTACAATGTTTTCGATGAGTCAACATTCACTATTCTTTCAGATGACATGTAACTTAAATGTTTTTTTTTTATTGTTTTTTTTATACTTTTTTTCGCTTCTTTTAATTGTTTCAAGTTTATTTTTCTCTTTAGGCAATCCTGACGGTCAGTATTGGTCAACAGGAGGGGAGGACGTCGGGGTATCTTTGACCAAGAAGATATTCACCATCAGCCCCGGGGATCATCCACCGGAAATTATCTCTGAACATCATGACGGTTGTCAATATTCGCATGGATTTACATTGTTCTACAATCCAAAATCATACCAAGATAAACTGCTAACAACTGTCAAAACATCGGGTGAGAGAAAAAGAGTTTTCTTTTCTTTTTTTTCATTTTTATTATTATTATTATTATTATTATTAATATTATTATTATTATTATTATTATCATTATTATTATTATACACATTTAGGTCTCATCAGTATTATTGTTTGTCCTGGGTATTATGGCAAGTAATGACAATACCATCCCTACATGACTGAAAAACAAAATGTCATTTAGGATCAATTGTCATGGAGAAATAAGATGTTGTATAGTTTTTAATAAGAATCTCAATTTCATTGTATTTTTTTCAGTAATTCGCAGTAGTTTATCTATACTGAGTAAACATTTTTTTCTTTAAAGGTACTGCCGACTCTGCTCTGAAGCCTTTCGCCTTTACTCTTAGCTCTGGTAAGTGGTAATGCTCTATTTTATTGTCTGAACCTATTTACGGTAAGCACTGCTTTTTGATAATGGTAGTCCTGTATGAAGCATTACAGAATGCTTTCTTTAAATCAAAAATAATTTTTGAAGACAAAACGACTTTCTTTTTTAATGTTTATTTGTTGTTGTTTTCAAATTTTAGTACTGGGTCTTTTTATACGTATCGGACAACATTGTACAGTCTTTAAGTCAGAAACAAAATTATAAAAGTCACTATAAATGCATAGGAATGATCGAATAGCCACACTGTTGTATTTTGAAACATTGGTTTTGCAAAAACATTTATAAAGTATTTCAACATTTCATGAGAAAAGATTTGACACTGCCATGAATACCAAATTACCATACAGTATCCTTGCATAAAACACAAATCAAGCAGATATACATCTCAATTTTGATATGTTATTATATTTTATATCATCTTCAAGCTTACCAAGCAGTTGTTACTCAGACGTCTAAGCATCATTACATTTACCAAGACGCCGCCACGTATTGTAAACTAGGTCACGTGAGGTATTCTATGAAACTAGCGGAATCTGATCACTATCCGGTCACGCGGGAATTCGCAGCTGACGTCTGCTCACTTCCGGTCACGTACGACGCCAACTCGTATATGCAGTTTATAGAAAAATGGGGCACGGTGAATAATACGTATTATTACCTAGAGAAGACCATATTATTTGTTATATTGATTTACATTTTGAAACTGGTCTTTGTAGGAAATTTATCTTGTAAGTAAAGTCATAAAGATATTGTTAAGTTCGGTAGCAACGTGTTGGCCATTATGCAATGTACTCTTGAACTGCACCAAAAGGCATCCAGTATCACTGTATACGAGAAATAAAATGTTACAAATGTTATTTAGTCAAAATACGTCATTGCAAATAACGACTCATGACAGAATTTTTGTTGTACATTTAGGACCCCTCATTGCTAACGCCATTGTCAAACATTACATAACAATCATCATCCTGAACTTTGCTTCCAACTGAAGGAACACACAATCTGTCTAAAAGTCAAGATCTTCTTATGTTCAGATGAAGGAATACATAACGTTTTGCTCTCCAGTTATAGTTCTACAATATCGTAACAAACCAATGATAGTCCAAATCAAAACAACATCATAATTCCCATTATTAACCCCATTTTAAAATTTAAAAAAAAATCGTGTAATATGTAAAAGCTTTCATTCTTGTAGCATGTTGTAACGGAAGTGGACATTGGAAAGGCAACAACAAACAGATACGTTGGAAGATTGAGGGATCTCTTCAATTTCGTCATGTTCAACGTAAATTATTTGTCTTGTCTGTAAATTAATAACTCTGTTATATTCATCGTCATGACGTTCATTGTATTTAACTTAATAAGCTTTTAAAAAATCATTGGTATATGCGGTACTTATTTTCAAACCGTTTACTGCTAACGCTTAACAAAGATTTTTATTCTTCTTCAACTTTTTTTATCGTTAACGGTTTAACGGTTTTCTGCCAGTTATGCTACAAAGGGACTATAGTTCTTCACGTCTTGCAGAAAATATGTACAAATTGTACTGAGAGTCGTGACAAATCAGAATTATTTATAGTTACATTGAAAGATTATAAAAAGTAATGTTATTCAATGAAGAATATTTAAGAATATGTCAATTATAATGATATTTGTTATTACCCGTATTGTATAGTTCAATATACAAAAAATGTACATGTATGTAAAATCATACTGTGTGTCAGTAACAAAGAATTATTATTTTATATAGGTAACAGACGAGATAAGCATGGGTGGGACTTTGGACGGGTTTCCGAGTTCATATGTGATTGACCCCGATTCTTACAAATACAGACATGAGTACAAGTACATAGTGGGCGTGTTCGAGGACAACCTTAGCATCGGGGACCAGTACTACAATGACGTCATAGGAAAGTCCGTGCAGACGATCGACATGGCATTAGACACCAAATATTGGCAATTTATAAATGCATACGTTCAACAACATGTGTGTACAGCCAGTGCCGCGCAAAATCTAGGCGTGTGGCAGACGAATATTGTAACAGCGTTAAAAGCATATCCGGCGTTTAAAAACGCAATGCAACCAGCCGGTAACCTAACTGTTACAGTTTAGTTTTTGTTTTATATTCTGTTAAAATGCAACTATTTCTATCTATGAGAATCTGCAATTCTTAACATTTATATGACATATTTCAAAGGATTACAGAATAATAGTTAATTAAAAATGGGGACAATTGTATCAGTTTCTGGAAGTAACGGTTTTTGAGCAAAAATATCCGTTCAAAAGATTAATCATTCTACAATATTCATGAAGAGCATTGGGCAAATTATATGGTAAACTTCGTATTTACAACTGTCTCAATTCCATTAAAAGTATGAAATAAAACTTTCTATACAAATGTGGAAAAATGAAAAAGTAGTCTATTGTATTATTTACTATATTACAACAAAAATGCTGTTTATTTTACAAGTATTACCACTAGCAATGCCGGCAACATGGCCACTAGGAACGTTTTCGATTCCTAAACCTCAAGGATCACAGTGCCCAACTACAGACTTTATGGGAGGAACTCTTACATTGCCCCAGGGAACTCATACCGGGGCGGCTCCTACTGGACTCCATATTGGTGGTATGACACATTGTGTATTTCTTTTTGTCTGCCAGAATACATGTTATTTTACATACATTGTATGTACATTACATTTACTTGCGTGTCATTATGTTATGTAAATGTAAGTATGCATTGATGTATGTCGCAAGTCTGCTTATGTTTCCCGCTATAGTGTGACTTTTGCATATATTGAAGAAAAAATCTTGAAAACTTGAAAAAAAGTCGCGTGGTGATGTTCTTGCTCTTTGATAATTGACGAAGGCATCGCTCTGTAAATCGGTTGTTCTCCACTGTTTGGTTTACCAACATTTACAGTGTGTTTTGTTTTCTCTAAAGAGCAGAAAAATAACATTCTTATGCCTTCTCGTACTTATATAGAATACATATGTCAATTTTAAAATCAGTTCTGTGTAAATTTTATACTACTTTTTAGTTGTGTATCATTGACACTGATTTAAACATATTTTATAAATGGTCTTATTCATGTCAACAAGTAAAACAGTGTATCTTTATATTTACACAAAATAGTAAAAGAATTAGACCATGAGTTCTTACAGCATCAATAAACGTTTTTTTGTTTTTTTTTCAACTAGACTCCAAAATCCAAAATCTTATGAGTTACAAACCAAAATGAAGAGGAAATAGAGCTTATTTGAAAAATTGTAAATGGTATATGTAGGGGAAAAAGAACATTTCTTATTAATATTTATACATTATTGAACATTAAAGCAAAATAATAAAGAAAAACGAGTAGGGTTGTAGAATCGTCAAGATCTACAATTGTAGAATTTTAAGAAAATGAACCAAACCAAGACAGTGACCTACATGCTGGATATCTTTTGTCTTGTTTGTATCTATTTGTATGTGTAATAAATTCCGCTGAATTTAAATACCAAAAGCTATGGCAAACTGAAATACATGTGTGTGTATATTATTTATTCCGTTTACAGGACAGCTGACAAGCAGTAAGTACACGTTACAATACTGCACTAAGGAGGACCCTGCACCCACCCCGTATGATATATACTGGCCCCGGGGTGACTATTGTATACAACAATATGATGATAGGTGTCCATACGCCTTCAGGATGGGCAAAGTGTTGCTCAAAACGTCCGGAACGTCAGCAAAATTAGGTAACTTAGCAACTTTGTTGTGATTAGTGTAAAAATAGTTAAGATGAAACTTTTTTGAAAGGGACACGATTAAAATCAATATAAATTTTTTTTGTATTTTTTTAATGAATATCGAAGGTAGTTTAAATTCAGAATGTACTCCTGTTACATACCAGTTTTAATGCACTGAATACACGATTTCTTATATTCATTCTACATAGCACACAATACACGAACAGTGTCATGCAATAAGGCAATATCTTATTGTTAGCGGTGTCAACACGCACAAATACTGGTTAATTAAACGTTCAGAAACAAAATGAAAATAACTAATGTAAAGCAGGATTGTTTATATCATTTAATTATCATAGTAAAACTGTGTTATATTCTAGGAATTGCACCCACTGGAACTTACGGGACTTCCACAGAATTGCAGTTTTGTTGTCGGTGAGAATGATTTATGAACATAATAGTACATGTACTATTTACATCATCCATAAATGCACTAGTAAACTAGAAATGACACAAACTGATACAAACTGATTCAAGCAATGTGTGCGTTTAGATGAATTATTAGATTGCAAAATTTAAAGACGAATATGTTGAATGAATACGTTCGTCTTAAATTCATTGGTCTTATTTTTTTGCAATCTTACAGAAGAAAATTTATGATATAGATTTTAATTTGTTTGTTTTGCAAAATTTAATCAGAAAGGAATTAGATCTATATAGTTTACAATTAATTTCCTTGATTCTAAATTTCATTGGGTATATTTTTTTCAGAAACGACTCTGTATATTCCCATAAAGTTTACCTGCCTTCTGCCAAGCCATTTTACTTATTTAAATTCCAACATGGTTGTCAAAAAGTCAACGGAATGTCAGTAACAGACGAAACGCTACCATTATACAATGACGTAACTTCCGGCGGAAGCGCATATCAAACAAGACTATATGGAAGTTACCCGTATGTTGAAGAAGTAGGCCGACTCTCAGCATATGCCACAAAGCAGTACAATCTACATTATTGTTACTATCAGCCTATTACAAAATAGAATTTCAATTAATATTTTTGTATGAAATGTATGATGTGATTGAATCTTAGACTTTCCGAAGCGATGTTGTTGTATTCTTTCTTAAAAAAATATTTTTCTATACCCTATAATTTCTTTAGCAATTTCTCGTTTAATTTCCAGTGTTTTTAGAAATAACAACTTAACAGATAGTGTTTAGAGATCACATGCGTGCAACAGTCGAAAATTGTCTGTCTCATATTGGTAAAGAATGTTCGAAAATGTTGGTTTATTGTTGGACAAGAAATTGTGAAAGTTCTACATATTATAGATTGGGACAGTTTTAATATATTGTATTCGAAACAATTTAAAATGAATTCTCTTTCTAATAAGTTTCTGGACGACTTCTTATAAGGGAACTGTCATACCATCAAACTACCATGATCTGCGTTATGCAGAAACGCCAGCAATAGTAGTTCGTTTGTTTTTTGTATTGTATGTGTGTGCCTTTTCTAGAATTTGTTTACTTGCAACAACAGATATTAATTAAGTGTCGTGTGATTTCTGTAAATAAGTTTCCCATAATTCTCAGTTTTGCTTTATTTGTAATGCTCAGGGCAAGAGTTGTGATCTCTCAAGACAGTATACAAATTTCACCTTTTATATTTTTCTCCAATAACATGTATCTACCGTAAATTTATTTACAGTAACTAAGAAATCGATGCAGCACGCAAAATTTCATGAAGAGGCGTCTTGAAAAAATATCAGACCGCAAAGGGCCTTTAAGTCAATAAGCAATTCATAACACTTCCTGTCTAATAAATGAACATAACCGGTATTTGTGAAACAAACAGTTCATCTTAATATATAAGATTATATTTTTCATATGAAGTTTGGCATCGAATTAACTAAATCTGTGTCACGTACACAAAAAGTGCATTAAATCTATTATACAACAATCTTTAAAATGATTCCACTTTCAAATAGAAATAAAGAAGTTTTTATATAAAACAAATTTATTTTTTTCGAAGTCATGATAAATACAATATTTATGCATCATATATTATCAAACATAATCCTACAAGTCTTCACTTACAATATAAGTATGCAATTTGTTTATTTCTCTCTACCATAGACCATGTAACACAAAGTTTTTATCATTTCAAATAAAAATATGCAATTTTTAAATGGTCATTTAAAATGAAAAAAATGAGACATGTTAAAAATAAGTCTAGTGCTTTAAACAACTTATTTAAAGAAACCATTATGTATGACAAATGTACACATGATTTATGATCATAATGTATATTTTTGAATACAACTTTTAAGATATCAACTACTGATTCAGGATAACCTGTTATTTGCCAGTTACAGAAAGGTTCTAATGACACATTATAGCAAAAAGTTCTCCTAAATGAATAAATTACACATCAGCAATCACCTGCAAAATGCTTCACAATTCAGTCTTTATGATTGAAAGATTCTCGTAAAATAATACTACAATTCACACTTCTGGGGTCTGTCTGATTAATTGACAGATTATCCTAAATGAACTGTACAATTTCTGTAACATAGGTCTGCCTACATGGCAGATAAATCAAATCACTTCAAAGCCTGTCTAACAGGTTCTCTTAACTGAATTTTACAATTCAAACACAGGTCTGCTAAACTGACAACTTCTCCTAAATGGTTTATACAAATGTTTTTCATGCCTCAGGTTATAAAACTTTTTTCTATAAAACTTTTTTCTAAGTTCAGTCTCAAATCTCAGATTTTGATTGGTCAGTGTGCATTCTGAGCTGGTTTCTGACCAATCAAATACTAGAGATCTGAGGATGAGCTCAGAAAATTTCTTTATAACCTTTATTGACCCATGTCTAAGTAACTGACAGGTTCTCCTACATCATTAATACATACAATAATATTTATGTTATCAAAAAAAAACATGATAACTTCGTTATATTACAAACACAAAATAGATAATTATACATGTATAATACTATGTTATCAGATGGAATTATTGCTACATCAAAAACAACAACAAACATATCATTAATTTAAGCATAATTAACAAGCAAACTGTACAAATCTTAAAAACTACTCTCCCTTTAGTATAAGCTGTAACTGATAAAAAGGTCTGTTAAATTTACATTGTAACCATATTTAACACATTTTAACCATGACTTAACCTTGTATATGTCATGGTTTCATTATGGACAACCAAAATCAATACATCATGGCCAACCTTGGTTTTATGTGCATACAAATAAAGTTTAAACCATGGTTCACCTCGCTGTTCAGTGATGACACAGCTAACAATGGTATCAGATGTGACCATGGTTGTATGGCCATGGTTAAAGTTAACTGGTAGGGGTATCCTCATATTATTTTGTACTTTTTTAAAATATACAGATACAATTGCTTGCAGATGAGAAAGAAAAACACTTTGAGAACAATAATTTGATATACATCATTAGACTAAAAACTAAACGTATCAGCAGCACTTTTTATGTTTTCATTTCTTTCAAACAATATTAAGTCATCCTGCCTAATACATATATACACACAGCAATGTTAGCACTTCTGAAACCATGGTCCTATATTAACTGGTCAAATAAATCACGTGGAACGATCTAGTCTTTTAGACTTATAGAATAATATAGTGAACATCTTATGTTTACTTAAAATGTTAAAATGATTAATATATCAGAGGTATGAAAATGCATGGTGAGGAGAACAGGGACCTGGCGCAGTGTTTGGATAGTGGGATGAAATAGTTCTAGAAAAAAAACTTACTTTGTATATATTATTTAGATTATATACATGTAATATATACTGTTTTTTCTTACATTATCCAAACACTATGCCAGGTCCCTGAAGTTATGAGGGGAAATAAATGACAAAAATATTCTTCTCCCTCCACTTTCCCACCCCCAGGTTGTCAAATAGATTTTGTAAGAATCTGTGTAACAATAATTCTTAATATAAAGTACATTTATATCTTGTACTGGCGAATCTAGGAAGAAAATATCAATTGAAAACTTGTATGAAGAATAAACTCATAACTTGTGCAATACATAACCTTTTCCTGGTTTTGTGTGCTTAGAATTGTTAACAATACCATTTCAGCCAATCTTACTCCAGTTCAGTTACTGTTTAACTAAGTAAGATTTTCGCTGAAACATATGGTATTTTACTATGATATTTCATAATTTGGTCTAGACAAGGTTTATGTATCAACCTTCTCAGATATACCTTGTACTTAATCAAGGTGTAAATACTTAATCATTTCATGCTGGATATACATGTAGTAAGCAAAGACTTTTAAAGAGATGTATGTATGTTGTGGTGGATTAAAGTCTTTTATTCCATCCTGTTCGAAATTGCTTCAAATACAGTATTGAACCACTATGACAGTCCCCTTTAAGACAAGTCAATGCAAAAATATCATTTTTTTAGAAATTCATCACAAAAAGTAGCAAAGTTCATGTAAATAAAAAAATATCTAAGCAATATGGTAAAAGCACTTTTTGCACACACAAAAATAACCAAAAAAGAACAGGCATGTAATCAGTTTTTTTCTAGTAGCACCATTTCTTTAAGTTTAAAAAAATACCGATATTCATCATTACAAAGTTTTGAAAATTAAAGACCAGTCTCAAACTCTGGAATATGATTGGACAGACTGGTTAATGATGATCTCATCAATTTGAAATTGACCAATGAAAGAATCCTAACAATAGACTGGTCTTACATATCTGTTTTAAAATTTGCTAAGGGAAATTTGAAATATCAAAAAGTTTCAATACATATAGAGAATAAGCTATAATAAAAGGTGAAATAACACCTCTAAACTGCAAAAAAAAATCAGAAATAATAAATTAAAGACTTAACTAATAACAACATAAAGTTAACAAACCCTTATTTCCTAATTGATTTTTGTTTTAGTCATGTTACTTAAAGATAAATTCAATTTACTGCGTGGTCAAAAACTCATCATATTATAAAGGTATAAGCTCATGTCCTGAGGGTACAAGATAACAGCATGAGGCTACCATCTCATGTCCTGAGGGTACAAGATAACAGCATGAGGCTACCATCTCATGTCCTGAGGGTACAAGATAACAGCATGAGGCTACCATCTCATGTCCTGAGGGTACAAGATAACAGCACGAGGCTACCATCTCATGTCCCGAGGATACAAGATAACAGCATGAGGCTACCATCTCATGTCCTGAGGGTACAAGATAACAGCATTAGGCTACCATCTCATGTCCTGAGGGTAGAAGATAACAGCATTAGGCTACCATCTCATGTCCTGAGGGTACAAGATAACCAGCATTAGGCTACCATCTCATGTCCTGAGGGTACAAGATAACAGCATGGGGCTACCATCTCATGTCCTGAGGGTACAAGATAACAGCATTAGGCTACCATCTCATGTCCTGAGGGTACAAGATAACAGCATGAGGCTACCATCTCATGTCCTGAGGGTACAAGATAACAGCATGTGGCTACCATCTCATGTCCTGAGGGTGTCAGTTCAAAACGTTTGAGGGTATAAATCTAATTCTGTGGTACTATTCAGATTTTGAGGATCCTGAGGGAATATGCTATTATCCTGAGGGAAACAGCTCCAAGTCTGAGGGTATCACCTCATATCCTGAAGTTATCCACTCATATATTTAGGGCCCTTGCTTGCAATGTGTAGGTACCAGCTTTAATCTCCAATATACGGTCTCATACCCTAAAGTACCAGCTCAAAACCTGAGGGTACCAACTTATATCATAGAACTTGCTTAACCCGAAACCACCACTAAGCTAAATTAGTATGCTGTGACACTGTACAAGTTCATTTATAAAACTTAAAAAGAATTATCTAAACTAAATGCTATGACAAAGAAAGCAGCTATTTATATTACATTCTACGAGCTATGGTTTAAAATCTCGATCATGGTTTTTATTCCTGAGAAACAAATTTTACTAGTTCCAATATCTACAGAGTGTCAGTCCAATCTAGTTATTGGCCAATAGAAACAAAATATTAGCAAACTTAATATAAACACAAAGTTCAATATACAATGATATGGATTGGAAATAAAACAAAACTGAAAATAGGAAAAGTATAACTTAACAAATATAACAAGAAATAGCAAATAAACAAGTGAAAAACATAGTATAATAGCTAAAAAAACAAGTGGAAAAGACAAAAATAATCAAGATACAAAGTACTGTAGGGGGCTACATGTATGAATGGGGAGAACTCTTCCTCGTAAATTAAAGAAAAGTAAAAGACACATGAAGCAGGTCTACAAATAGAGTCAAGGTCAAATGAATGTAAATTTTGTACAATGTCTGTACACCATTCTAAAAAAGTTCAGTATTAAACAGAAACAGTGAACCAATCTAAAAACAAAACTTAATTGCCTTGTTGAAAAATTCAGCATATTCCCTTCAAAAGTTTTAGAGATACCAGCTTACACATAAAAACTTAACTAAAGTGTGATGCCGACACCAGCACCGCCGTCAGTATAACTATTCTTTGAATAGTCGAGCTAAAAAACTATAAAATAACAAAGAGAAGCCAGTTATTTTTAAGTCAGTATACTGCTCAGTCTGTGGGGCCCCCCTATACATGGCACGTCAAATTATTCCCAGGTATTGAGTGAAATCAGTGTTATAAAACAATATATCTACAGAACAAACACAAGAACAATTAAGACATGAAGATAATCATTAAGACATGAAGATAATTGATGAATTGTACAGTATATATTGCACTTATAATAAATCACTATTTTACACCAAGCCAGAAAGACAAAAACTGGCGACAAACAAAACATAAACAGTTCTATGGTACTGTTGTTGTTGTTGTTTTCCAGATAAAAAAAAAATTCAAAACAGCATTGTAATACAATATTGCAAGAATTATTTCAGATGGATGGTAAGATAATTATGAAGGCCAAGGGACTAAGAAATCAATTACATAAATCTGGAATGAATACTGTAGAACATTTTAGTTTTTGTTGTCAAAATTTTGTGATTTTTGCTAAAAATATTTATTTTTCTTTTTTATGTATTCATGAACTTACTTCATCATTATATTCAAAATCTAAAGTGTTGCTAAATAAAATAATGATATTTGGGCTAACATATTAATTCGCAATAACTATGAATTTTCGGAAGAAACTGGTTTGCCAATATCAGCAAAAATTAATGTAAAGCAAATAAAAGTAGTTTTACAGTAATGACAAGTTGGAAAGTAAACAAGGCATAGTCAATTTGTTGCGCAGGAAAGTGTAACAGAGTTATATTATGAAAACGTACCAGACAATTCATTGGGAAAGAACATTTTTGTACGTGCATTTTTTTTGTACACTTGACAACAATTTATGTCAAAAGAACAGTCTAGTTTTTATAAAAATTTACACAAATCTAGAGGCTATTTAGACTTATAATATTACACACCTATTCTAACACATATATTATTTTCGTTTTAAAGAAACAATAACAATAAACATGTGCCAAACATAAATACATGTATAATATTTTAGCATGATATAAACATTTATAATTATGCATATTAAGTGCAAATAACAGAATCCTTATATAAAAGCAGAATACTGTTTAACATGCCATTTAATACAAGTGTATTGTCTAAAATTATGTTTCATAAATAAAATTTTCATGAGGTAACATTGAAGTAAACATGCCAGGTTCTTTGTTATTGCGATGAATGAGCAATGCTTTATTTATATTCAAATATGAGCAATTTATCTTTACTTACGGACAAAAGGTAACTGGAAGGAGAATATAGAAATGTAAGGACACAGAAACTGACCAGGTGTGGTACTGGATCCAAACTTTGATCTTTTTGTTTTTATTGATTTGATTATAAATATAAATTTTATTTGTTTCTTTCTTTGTCCTGTTACACCTAGTCACATCAGCACTATTATGGTCATATGGTTACTTTTTTGCTTTACTGGTGGAGAAAGACCTCAGGTGTCCCTACATGTGTTATTTCAGGCATGAGCCAGCAACTTAATAGAGCCATCGACTTTATATAAACTAGATGAAGAGATAATTCACAAGGAAAGAATCAGTATTTCAAGTATGCTATCACCATAGTTACATTATTCAGGATGCACTTAAACTTTAAATATTAGGGCAGGGTTATTCGGCACTGGAAATTAAATATCAAGAGACACTACATTAAAATCAAATCTGAGTAGAAAGGAAACCTAGTACTCAGAACATACTTATCAGCCCCTTACCATCATGGAAAACAAAGAGAAGATTTTAGACTTTCCCATTTCCCCCACAAATTCCTATAGTGTAACTTTACATCAGTTTTAAAGTACAAAATTGTCATATGTTAAGATCAACAACACATATTATGCAGGCAAAGATCTGGTGTATAAAAAATACTGTTTGGCATTAATAGTTAAGAAGTATTTTATCCTTACAATATTGTGGACTCATTATTATTCAAGAAAAACTTCACAAGATATTTAACTTTCAATAATCAGCACATATAACATCCTCAAGCCCCTTAACACCTGTTCCACCCCCAAAAATAGAGTTTCTTTAACTAAACTGTAAAATGCACTAGCTATATATTTGTGACAAATATTTTAATTAATGCCCAATAAATTTAATCATTACAATAATGACAATTATGTACAGAGAAAAAATATATGTCCCAAAAGATGAAAAGTCATAATGTATGTTTTAGGGAAAATAACTCTGTAACTATTTGAATCAGCATAAATCATCTATATGAATTACAATATCCGAAGCTGATCATTTCCTTAGAATTTCATTGCAAACTGATAATAACCATGTTAGAGATGAAGAATGTGTAAAAAAATGTTAATAAATAGATGTGTCCATGTTTCTGATAATGTACATATTGATGTTTATGTTTGCGCAGACGGACAGGTGTGCAGTTTGACTTTGTTTGCCAACATGTAAGTAATTGACATATCCTTAAGATTAACTCAAGACAATAATGATATATTAGCACAGCACAGACGAAGACCAGTAACTCTTACCAGATTCTATACTGTCGACAGCTCAATTTTAACAGTCTTATTAAAATCAGAGCAGAAATCTCTTATGAGAAAAATTTAGTCTAGGAAAGGTTAAGAGATAAATATTTCAGAACCTTTTTACTATATGTTTATAATATCATCTTCGATCGAGATGTAAAAGTAATGTCTGACTAATTTCATATTTGACGATTAATACCTACACCATACTTTTTCAGTATTTCACAATATTTCTCTTACCCATACAGTTTTTACACCCTAACACTAACTCAACTTAATGACATATATCAAATATGATATATAATCTTTAAAAAATGTTAAAAAAAGTATTTTGTCAGAATTTTTTAACTTGTGTTTTACATTGACGTGCACTATTGAAATGTGTTTAACACAAATGCATCTCTTAACAATGTTTAAAAAATCGTTACATATATTCAAAAAAAAATTCTGAAAATAAAATTCAAAATCAAGGATTTGTTGTTTGTTTTTTTTCAAGTTGCCACATGTCATGTATTCATTTACTCATTTACCCTTGCACAATAATTTGGCATTAGTCTATCTACTACTTTGGAAGTGTTTTCTTTGATAAAACAAAGACCCAATAGGTCAGTAGATCTATAAATGACCTTGTTATTTCACTTTAAGAACAACTCCTTATTCTGTGATATGAGAAGCTCCACGCTTTTTTGTTCCGCGCCAACTGACATCAGACTCAACATCGGGTCGGAGTCCGGACTTCGCATCAGCGTCGGCGCAAAAACTATCGCCAGGTTTTCTGATGTCATCATGTTTTTTGATTTTTGCTCAGTAACTCTGAAATAGATGGTATAACATTTCGCATTACAAAGCATATCATTATTTAAAAAAGAAAATTCATTTAATGCAATGTGAATTTTGTCAAAAGGGAGGTAATTCTAATAATTGCCCTTCTTAGTTATCTAAAGCCTGTAAGAATTGTCTCCCATTACAAATCACAGATAAGAATGAGACTAAACAAAGTGTTGGAGCACCACACTAAATATCGTATTCCAGTATATACTGTACAAGGTGCTTGAATGATTAAATGCTAAATTACTGCTTTTTCACTAAACAGAATGAACTTTAAAACGTCTAGGTTATCACTTCACACCAATTTATATACAATAATAAGTGAAAAATGCAAGAATCTGCAAAAAAAAAGCGATATTTTTCTAGTTGGTGATCATGATTTCTGCAAGTGTCTATAGGTACTGCTCCAACACTGTAGTGAGTTAAATCCCACAGATAAAGCTTTCACTATGTCCAAACTTCCTTTTATGTATATGAATGATACATGACCAGATAATTATTTACAGTAAGAGGAAGAATAAAACACAAGAAAACAAATAAAATACTTAACTATATTCACATATAATCAGGGGGCATAATATTGTACTGAAGAGTTGAACAGGGGACATAACTTACCTTACTAAGTGGTTTATGAGATATTTCAGTGTCTGATAATGTGCTGGGGGCAACTTGGCCAACCCTTCCCTCACATACAATATTTTATCCTTCAATTCTTCCCTATCTGTAATATACAACATTATTTATAATTAAATTTATCTCTATATTAATCACAATTTGAATACCTTTTATACATTATGTGCTAACCAGAATATTTCAGACATCTTTGGTACAATTTTGTTAAAAAAGAGGGGGAAAAAGTTGAAACACTAAAAAATAATTTCATTTTTAAACACATTTTTTTTTAATCAAAGCTTTATATATACATATTCTTATGATCAGCATCCCTGAACAAGAATAAAACATCAGCCTATTGGATACCTGTACAACATGTTTTTTGTCTTTAAAAACATGTTTTGCAATCCATCTCACTAAGTCACTTTGACGACTATGAAGCCATTATAGAGCTTTTACTATGACATAAATTGACTGACTCCAAATCTGAACATATACAGGTGCCCAAATATAAGGTGTGGTAGCCTTGATTGAAATATGTTAAATTTCAACAACAACAGAACTGTAGAGTTTTGTTTGATTAAGTCACACCAACACTGTTAAGGTCATATGGTGATTATCCAGCTTAACTAATGGCAGAAGACCTCAAGTGCCTTTTTCTACAATATTTGAGGTACAAGAGGAAACATTTGTAGAAAACCACTGACCGTCAGTAAGCTACCTAGATAGCTTCCTAGCATTCAAGAACCTAACAGATATTATTCAAACCATCAGAAGTGAAACGTTAGTGCTTTAAAGTCTACAAAACCACTCAGGCCATATAGTCTCCAACAAGTGTACAGAGCTATAAAATAACTTACTCATGCCCTCGATTATTCTGGGGTAAGTGACAGAGCTATAAAATAACTTACTCATGCCCTTGATTATTCTGGGGTAAGTGACAGAGCTATAAAATAACTTACTCATGCCCTCAATTATTCTGCGATAAGCATCAAAAGTAATGAGAGGTATTGGTAATAATCTAAAGTAAAGCTTTAATACACTCGTTATAGTGTTGATGTCTTCATACTTCGCAGTACTTATAATAGTACATTCTCCATCTGAAAGAAAAAAAACATCAACAAATGTATAAATAATACAACAAGTATCTTACTAAATTTTTTCATTATTTTGTCTTGTTTTGAGGGTTTTTTTGTCATTTTGCCATAATGGCCTGAAAATTCTATAATGGCATAAGGGCACATTCCCTCAGCCATTATGCAGAGTTAATGGCAAGTAGCAAGGCAACCAAATTGAATAATGATATATTTATACATACTTGATCAAATTCAATATCTATATTTTCTTTATTAAAAGCCATATATTACATTTACACTTTATTAAATGCAAAAAAATATAAATCACCATAATCAATGTCCATATTCACATGCCACATTTGTATTACATTTATCAAAGGCCATTATCTATTTACAATTATTAAATGCAATATTTATACTTCTATAATCAAATGCCTTTTTTGTATTAGTCATATTGATTGCCATATTTTTATTAACTTTATCAAATGCCATATTTATTTATTACCTTTATCAAATGCTATATGTATTATTTATTACTTTCAACAAATGCCATACTATTTATGCCACATCAAATTTATTTTTTACCTTTATCAAATGCCATTTTAAATTTATTTATTGCCTTTATCAAATACCATATTAAATTTATTTATTGCCTTTATCAAATGCCATATTAAATTTATTCATTATCTTTATCAAATGCCATATTAAATTTTATTTTTTACCTTTATCAAATGGCATATTAATTCTATGTATTACCTTTATCAAATGCCATATTACAATTTTTTATTGCCTTTATCAAATACCATATTAAACTTATTTATTGCCTTTATCAAATGCCATATTAAATTTATTCATTATCTTTATCAAATGCCATATTAAATACTATTTTTTACCTTTTTCAAATGCCATATTAAATTTATTCATTATCTTTATCAAATGCCATATTAAATTTTATTTTTTACCATTATCAAATGCCATATTAATTTTATTTATTACCTTTATCAAATGCCATATTAAATGTTTTTATTACCTTTATCAAATGGCATATTAATTTTATTTATTACCTTTATCAAATGCCATATTACAATTTTTTTATTACCTTTATCAAATACCATATTAAATTTATTTATTGCCTTTATCAAATGCCATATTAAATTTATTCATTATCTTTATCAAATACCATATTAAATTCTATTTTTTACCTTTATCAAATGGCATATTAATTTTATTTATTACCTTTATCAAATGCCATATTAAATGTTTTTATTACCTTTATCAAATGGCATATTAATTTTATTTATTACCTTTATCAAATGCCATATAACAATTTTTATTACCTTTATCAAATACCATATTAAATTTATTTATTGCCTTTATCAAATGCCATATTAAATTTATTCATTATCCTTATCAAATGCCATATTAAATTTTATTTTTTACCTTCATCAAATATCATATTAAATTTATTTATTACCATTATCAAATGCCATATTAAATGTTTTTATTACCTTTATCAAATGCCATATTAAATTTATTTATTGCCTTTATCAAATGCCATATTAAATTTATTCATTACCTTTATCAAATGCCATATTAAATTTCTTTATTTCCTTTACCGAATGTCATACTAAATTTATTTATTACCTTTATCAAATGCCATATTAAATTTACCTTTATCAAATGCCATATTAAACTTATTTATTCCCTTTATCAAAAGCCATAATAACACTAGCTTTATCAAAAGCCATAATTACATTACCTTTATCAAATGCCATATTTATATTACCTTTATCAAATGCCATTCTTATTTCTTCTACCTCATCGTGTAGACCAGCTACTCTGTATAAACCTTCAGCATCCAAGCCTGTATGTACACAGAAATAGAAATATAATAATTCAAAGCAATAGATACATAAATACTTCCATATCAACACTGTCAAATGAATAAGTTTTACAAACAATTTAAGTCAGTCTTTCATCTTTGATGAATTCCATCTAGACCATTATTTAACAAACTGTAAGAAATGTGCAGAATTTGAATTTCAGTTCCATCAAGATTAGGGCTGGGCAAAGTACTTGATAGTACAACAAGAGCAATGTTGTGAATTGACTTAGCTCACAAAAGGGACTGTTTCAGTGAACATTTAAACTTAAGTCATAGATTTACATCTGTGATTAAAAAAATACACTAAAGTCACATGTGGCAAATCTTCAAATGCCCTAAATACAAATATTTTTCATTTACATGTACTTATAAATGACATTTTGATGAAAAAAAGCCTTTTTTTCATTTACCATATTTTCACTTTTAAAATTATTTTTTCACCCCCGTAAATCATATTTTCTCTATTTTCACTGGTGTCTTACCAGACTACTTTCTTCTAAATTCAGCCAATACACAAAATTTAAGGGAAAGTCTTTCAAATTGAATGTCAAAAAAGAGAAAAATGTATATATTAAATAGAAAATTCTAGTTTTTTTTCCTATAAATACAGGATTTATTTTAATCTTGTGGCATGAAAATTATCATATTTCACTTGGTTTATACAGAATTTATTTTAGTTCGATTGTGTACGAAGCTATTAGCTTATAGACACATTTGCGAATCCGTTCCTGGAACAAACCAGTGCTGCGCAATGAGTGTAAAGTTTCTTGCTCAAGGAAACAATGACTTGCCCCTGACAGGGTTTGAACCCATGCGACTAGTGATCATTAAATAACTAGTCTGACATGTTAACCACTCGGCCATGCCACCACTATAATGCCATATTTCACTTGTGGCTCTCATGAAATATTTATTTTCATACCACTTGATAAAAATAAATCCTTTATTTATATGAAAAACTTATGTACCCTTTATATCTTACCTCTACTTTCTATTTCCTTTACACATTTCTCCACTACTATTGGTAGGGGAGACTTTCTTGCCTTTATAACTGTGGTCAAATCTTGTCCAAATATATTCTTCACAAATTTTATATCTGGCATACAATCATTTGGCACCTTCTCTGAACATTTCTTGTGGGCCTCAAATCCACAGTCTGTAAACATTTTGCAGGTATCAGTAAAAGAAGTTTTAACAAGGAAAATTGCAATAAAGGAGTAAATTGAAACACACAAGTATAGGTATAAACATAAGCTGTCAGTAGGACTGCATGCTTGACTATTCTTAGTGCTAAATAGTGAAACAATATCCTGTAAAATATAGAATTTTCTAAGTTCAAAAAGGGTCATAACTCTGTCCAAATCAATGTTAGGGTTATGGGCCTAGGAAGGAGACCTTCTATTGGGCTCTCAAATAAATGTTTGAACATTTAACCCATTGCTTTCAGTAGTTTTGAAGACAAACTTGCACACAAAAACTTAACCGAAGTGTGACGCAGACGCCTTGGTGAGAACAATAGCTCTGAGCCTCTCCATACTTTTTAAATAGTCAACCTAATAACAAGATTATAAAAAGATGCTGCTGACGAAAAAACTCATGCACCTTTAAGTTTTAAAACATTATATTTCAGTGTTATAAAATAACCCATTACCAAACTTTTATACTCAGGGCTTGCACTGACAGCAGCTAATGAATAAATTGGCTCTAAAATTATTAACATGGCTCTAGAAAATCACTTTTTTAACAAAAAAAAATTATGATGAAATATTGTCAAAAACCATGGATATTAATAGCATGCCCCTCTGCATTATCTAAAAATCAAGCTAGCACTTAAGTAGAACTACAAACCTTTGAAATATCAGTTTGTAAAATTAGTTGGTCTTGCAGTCGATATATTTAGACTAGATTCTTGGGGAAAAAATCTCACAGTGTTTGGTAGAACTGAAGTCATAGTGTTCAAGACCAAGTGATTTTATTTTGATGACATTCATAACTTAGTCACATAGGCATCAGTTCCTTTCAATACAATACATACACTATCATTGAAAAAAATATCAGCATTTACTAGACATAACATACCTTGACATTTTGATCCCTGGGCAATCAATCCCCACATAAAATTGGCACAAAAGTCACACCAATGAAGTCCTATGAAGTTATGTGTTTTAAATACATGAGGTTTCTCAAAGATTGACACATCAATCTCTCCATCTACTTCAAAACTGTCAACATCATCTTCCTCATCATCTGGCTGCAAAAAAAAAATGGGAATTCCCAAAATCTAAATATAGCTTTGATAATCTTTCTAAAAATAGCTGCTCTGATTTCTTAGAAGCACTTTTGAATTCTAAATATAGATTTAAGATTTCTACATAAAATTTATATACACGCTTTTGTTAATGGCTGAAATTTATAGATACATAGATCAGTGATTGACACCTGATTATTTATTAGTCTGAATTAAATGAAATATTTTATACTAGGTTTACACCTTCCTGTAGTTTGAATATGAAAACAATGTTTCTGATCCAGTAAATACATGTAAACTTGACTATATGGGCTTAAGGTAAAAAGACTTTACTTAACTTCATCATATAAGAACATAACTGATTGTTAGCATACACTTCATTAATTCTAAAAGGAAACAGTGCAGACCACGATCAGATGACATGGTCTGCACTATTTATTGTTTGTTTATCCTTTAAGTATTTTAAAGTAATGGTTTAAATATTATTTACAAATAATATTCTCCTGATATTTTAATTTGGACACAAAAAATCCAATGTCTTTACTTTAAGTCAGCACACATATCTAGCAATATTTTGTAGCATTTTGTATTTAAACTAGAACTGCCACTATCATGGCTTGAATACCCCCGCATACCACTTTGTCAGAATCAACAGTGGCCATTTAGAGCTCAAGAACAACCTCTTGCCAAATCTGAGGTTACTAAGACAGTGCATTGCTAAGTTATGTATTCTACATGCTTCAAATGTGAAAATGTCAAAATCAATACATTGCGGACAGGACATTCTTTAGCAATTGAGAAGAAAAGCTTTTTTTTTGTCAAGGTCCCTGTGACCTTGACCTTTGACCCAGTGACCTCAAAATCAATCGGGGTCACCTTATAGTCATGATCAACATGCATACCAAATATGAAGACTGTGGGTCAAAGGTATCTTAAGTTAATGGGTAGACAAACTTTTTGAAGTCAAAGTCCCTATGACCTTGACCTTTGATCCAGTGACCTCAAAATCAAAAGGGGTCATCTACTAATCATGATCAACATCCATGCCAAATATGAAGACTGTGGGTCAAAGGAATCTAAAGATATTGGGCAGACAAAGTTTTTGAAGTCAAAGTCCCTGTGACCTTGACCTTTGACCTGGTGACCTCAAAATCAATAGGGGTCATCTACTAATCATGACTAACCTCCATGCCAAATATGACGACTGTAGGTCAAAGGAATCTTAAGTTATTGGGCGGACAAGCTTTTTGAAGTCAAAGCCCCTGTGACCTTGACCTTTGACCTGGTGACATCAAAATCAATAGGGGTCATCTACTAATCATGACTAACCTCCATGCCAAATATGACGACTGTAGGTCAAAGGAATCTTAAGTTATTGGGCGGACAAGCTTTTTGAAGTCAAGGCCCCTGTGACCTTGACCTTTGACCTAGTGACCTCAAAATCAATAGGGGTCATCTACTAATCATGACTAACCTCCATGCCAAATATGAAGACAAAGGGTCAAAGAAATCTTAAGTTATTGGGCGGACAAGCTTTTTGAAGTCAAGGCCCCTGTGACCTTTGACCTAGTGACCTCAAAATCAATAGGGGTCATCTTCTCATCATGACTAACCTCCATGCCAAATATGAAGACTGTAGGTCAAAGGAATCTTAAGTTATTGGGCGGACAAGCTTTTTGAAGTCAAGGCCCCTGTGACCTTGACCTTTGACCTCAAAATCAATAGGGGTCATCTTCTAATCATGACTAACCTCCATGCCAAATATGAAGACTGTAGGTCAAAGGAATCTTAAGTTATTGGGCGGACAAGCTTTTTGAAGTCAAGGCCCCTGTGACCTTGACCTTTGACCTAGTGACCTCAAAATCAATAGGGGTCATCTACTAATCATGACTAATCTCCATGCCAAATATGAAGACTGTAGGTCAAAGGAATCTTAAGTTATTGGGCGGACAAGCTTTTTGAAGTCAAGGCCCCTGTGACCTTGACCTTTGACCTAGTGACCTCAAAATCAATAGGGGTCATCTACTAATCATGACTAACCTCCATGCCAAATATGAAGACTTAGGGTCAAAGGAATCTTAAGTTATTGGGCGGACAAGAAAAAACCGACGGCCGGACGGACGGCCGGACGGCCGGACGGACGGACAAGCTGATTCCAGTATACCCCCCTTACAACTTTGTTGTGCGGGGGTATAAAAAGATTCAAAGCGCCAAAACAAGTAACAAACATGTTAACATGAAAATGTTCTGCACAAACTTGTACCTGGTACCATGGTATGGAATGCTAAACAAAATCTAATGAATGTTAAAACAATTAATTTCAAAATACATTCCAGCCAATTATCATTTGCATTACTTCTATGTCACACAAGCAATTCTTTCAGCCAATCAGATCTCTGCATACAAATCATACCATTAAAGATGCTTCTTCTATGCTTTGGCTTAATCAAATGTAGGGCTTGTTCCAGAGGAATAAGACACTTGGTTCAATGGTAGTGGACATTTGGATTTAGAGGTAGGAACCCTTGTCCAGTGGTAGTGTGCATTTGTTTGTTTGTTTGTTTCATTTTACGCCTTTTCCAAACAGTATTTCAGTCATATAGGCGGATAAATTCCTAACCATCGTTCCTGGAGAGTTACACCAGTACTAGACTACCTTCACCCGTGCTAAACTACCAAAGCATCTCCCGGAGTGTGCATTTAGTCCAGAGGTAGAGGAAACATTTGGTTCAGAGATCTAGGTCTCTTATTCTAGAGGTAGGGGGCCATTGGTCATGGGGTTATGGTTGCTTTGACTAAAGGAAGTGGGTGCTTTATCTAGAGGTAGTGTGTGTGCTTAATATAGTCTAACTACAAATCTAAAAGTCATGAGTCCCAAATTAAATTCAAAATCATATTCTTTTGCTCTGTTGAACTGCAGCTGTATAATTATAATAGGGTATATTATTTGAGGAAGATTTAATTAATGGAGAACAGACTCTTTGTATCTGGCATAACTGTTTGTTTGTTTATTTTGTTATGCTGATTTTAACACATTTTTGGTCATAATTATTTCTACAGTCAGTCCACATAACTAGCTTTTCCCCCCGGATAACTTTCCATTAATTACCGATTTCTCTGCACCTGACAGTCTGCTAATCCCACGCGATCTTTGAATCAGTGGTGAGAGACAAAATGACCATTACACTCAATGTCTGAGATCAATTTTGTCATGGAGAAATTTCAACGGGCTGGAAATACAATCCAGTAACTCCTGGATTACTGGATTACAAGATTAATTAATTACAGGAAAAAAATTTATAGTTATTAAAACTAAGGTTGACAAATCATTGTGCATAGTCATCAATTTATGTGAAACAAGACACACTGCAGTAAACCAAACTTCCTTCACGGCAAACAATCTGTCAGGAAATTAAAACCTGCAATCCTTCCGATATCTTTTTTAAAAATTTTTTTGCAAATAAATAATTACTCATTGTAGATTGAGTAAGTCTGATTCAATAGATTTATTATACAATTATTTCTCCATTTTTGTTTCTAACTACTGTTGAATGACCTGAACTAATATTGAATGACTAACGTTTCTCATACAATATAATTATGTCATTTCTAGTTATTTTTATCTACAATTTTATTCCCTAGAAATTTTTCAACAATAACATCAGGCTTTTCAACTACTCTGCAAAGCTGGTAAAAAGGGTATACATTTTAGCAACTATTGCGAAATGGTGAACTTTAAATAAACATTCATTTGCCCAGTAATATAACTAAAAATGGAGACCAGTCTGCAGAAATCCAGATCAACTATTTGATTAGTCGATTTCAAAATTCAAATTCAAAATTAACCAATCACAATGTCAGACCAATAGACTGGTCTCCAAACATTTGGTTTAAAGCGAGTCAAGTCAGAACATGACCTAGCAAAATGCATATCAGCCGAGAACATTTCAACAATAAAATCCACTCCTCTCATAAGCAAGGTTAAAATCTTTTTAACGGGGCATTCCCGTGTTTAACAAATACATTTTTTATTCTATGACACCTTTATAAATTTTTGTAAATGTAAAAGAGCATGTCTACACCCTAGTATTAATTTTATGTTTTATCCACAGGTAGATTAAATTTCATTTAACTTCAAGTTTAACTTCCTTTTTTATAACAAAAAATAACACAAGTCATGTATCTTTTAAGGAAAACATATTTCTGTGAAACCTAATACTAGGATTCAAATCATCTTGTTTAAGATATTATCACGGATATGCCCCTTTAAAAACTTGTTATAAACAAGGCAAAAAGTAACAAAGCCTAAAATACACAGGAATTCCAATCCCATGGGATGTTACCTTTTTCCGTACATGTTTTACACCAAGAATTTGTTTCGTTTTTGTTTCTTTTACAGAATTTCTCTGAAAACATGGCATGGCATAAGAACTTAAAATTCACCTAAAAATGAACACATTTAATTCAAAAGAAAGAAATTTGTCAGGCCTAGTCTGAAACCTGAAAAAAAAAGAGATTTTTTTTTACCTTACTTCTAAACTCTTCACTGCTGAATTAGTATAATAGAATTGTCCTGCTTTTAGTTTAGAACTTTGTACATTTGTTTGGCATTTAACATAGATTAAAACATATTTTTGGTCATATCAATACATTTTACCTGCTTTCCTGGATAACTAACCAGTAATTATTAATTTTTCACATGTGACAAACTACCAAATCCCACATGATATCTCAATCAGTGGTGAGAGAGAAATAACAACTACACTCAATATCCCATACCAACTGAAATTTCATCTAGGCAGAGGATCAAACGTGTGACCCCTTGATAACAAATTCAATGCTCTCCCTATTGAGTTAAGTGGGTGGACAGAAGATTGTAACAGTTAAAGTAAACATTAAGGGCATATGGTAAAATTATAATGTTCTTTTCCTATACATCATATAGTTGTATCAAATGCGAGTTTAAAGTTCTAAAAAAATCAGAATCAAGGTGATCATAAGGGAAGTGGTGGCCTAGTGGTTAAGATGACTGCTTCTCAACCCAGGGATCTCAACCCAAATCAGGTCACGACCATGTTTCTTCATATGACACTAGTACTGGTTGGTTACAGGAAGTGGACTCGAAAGTGATAAATATAAGATGCAAGAACTTATTTCACAATCAAACTTAAATAAATATGTTTAAGGTAATAAAACATATAAGATGCAAGGACTCATTTCACAATCAAACTTAAATAAATATGTTTAAGGTGATAATACGTACTGATGTTGGAGTCAAAGACAGGTTAGCATTAGCTAAAACATCGGGCTGATTCACACGATTATTCGCATTTTTGCGTGATTTTTGCAGCCTCTTTCTTTTAACACTGTAAGCTAAATATGGCGACTGTGCGTAATTTGATTCGTCCGACAATGATGCAATATAGTCTGATGCTCGTGATTCGATATAGAAATGTATTAATCCGTCTGCAACTAATTGTTCCACAGTTTCAAATCGTTTTTCACCTACATAATGAAGTCCGTCGTAATATAATTTGTAGTTCTTTGTCTGACTATCAAATCTGAAAGAAAATCAAGCAAAACAAGTTTAGTTTAATGTTTTTATTCTAGCTTGATTAAATTTTACATGATTTTAAAGAATCATGATTGAATCAAATTTTAGGACATCACCATCTTACTTTTTACCTTTGGTTATCTCCCCTGAAAGTGAGATTTTTTTTTATTTGTCTTTAATCATACAAAGTTTAAGAAAATTCTTTGCACTATTTAAAATTTTCCTTCTTTGCTTTTGTGAAAAAATTACTAAAATTTCCAATTTCAAGTCTTCTACCTTTAATACATGTACAAACATTTACAATGGATTTTATAAAAAAAAGTTGGTAAAATATTCACCTTCACCCCTCTAAATGTATATCTGCCTTCCACCTTTATTCCCTAAAGAGTATTTACTCACCTTTAAGACAGATCCCTCATAAGACAGGGTCTAACTTTTATCCTGCTATATTTGTGTAATGGATTATTTGTGTAATGGATATGCGCTGCATTATATCTGGGACAGTCCATTTTATAACTAAGGGCTTTTAATGTTATTTAAAAAATTAAACAAATAAAACTTCAAAAAGTATAGAGCCTGGTCAGACTGCAAGGATCACTTTTATTTCAAGCAGACTAAGGCTATAAATTACATCAATCTTGCCTTCTGGTCAAATTATGACAAAAACAAACCCATTTTAACGTAAAAATATATCAGAATGTAAATATACCTTATGGCTAATGTGAATGCATTTGGTGCCCTATCACTCTTCCTGACTAGATAACTACCGTCTCCTCCCTGAAATAAAATATCTTCCGCCTCCTCCCGCGATATCTGACCATGGTACCTACAAACATAAAACATTGTACCTACAAACATAAAACATGGTACCTACAAACATAAAACATGGTACCTACAAACATAAAACATGGTACCTACAAACATAAAACATGATACCTACAAACATAAAACATGGTACCTACAAACATAAAACATGATACCTACAAACATAAAACATGGTACCTACAAACATAAAACATGGTACCTACAAACATAAAACATGATACCTACAAACATAAAACATGATACCTACAAACATAAAACATGGCTGCTTCATAGTGCAAAATATTTGAGTTCAGGGACTTATTTTGACTTATTTTATAGCCGATATTTGGTCATATTCTCTATTGAAAATAGTATATTATTTTACCAATCCACAAGAAAAAACTCCCAATTTAAAGTTGTAAAATGAAAATATTGAATAACAAATACTAAAATCTTTGAAAATAAGGGCTTCTTCACTGTTATGTTAAATGTTTGAAGATGCCATCCTAGACAGTGATTCTTTGCATTCATTTTATCAATGCAAAAATAAGTCATGCATTTTTTCCAAATTTTTAACAAAACATAGCAATTCCAAATGGGTATGAGTCATGTTCCAAAAATCCTGGAAAAAACCCTCAGTTCATAATGGGAGATAATTCAGTAAAGAATCCATGCTCAAGTTATGTGTCTTGTTCAGTGACTTAGAATAACAAAAATACCGCTTTACCAGTAAGTTTCTGTGTACCTACAGATTAGCTGAGAAAAACCCGTTTTGCTTAGTTCTGGATAACATCTATTGGTGTATTAATTTACAATTAGGATTTTGTGTAACTTGATTTGACCTTAGAGGATGTAACTTTAAAATGAATTGTAAGAAAATTTAAATTTAAAATAAGTCTGAAAATGACTTACTCAGATCCATAGTATGTGGGTTTATTGACAGGCTGCAAAAGAAAGATTGAAACATTATCATATACTGTAAAATCATTATTATCCGTGGGGAAATGATTTTCGTGGTTTTTGTAGATAGGTCAATTCATGAATTTAAGATCCAACAAAATATCATTTCATCTGCTGAAATATTATTTTGCATCAAATTATTTACATTTTACATTTTGGAAAAATAAACAGTCCATGAATTTAAGTACCCTTGAAAATGTTCTTTGGACAAAACCACGAAATTCCGTGCCCACGAAATTTCATGCCCACGACATTAAGTGAATTACAGTAATAAAAGTACAATATGAAAATTGAATGACATTCATTACTGCATGTTCAAGTGTACAAGTTAGAGCTGCATTCTAATTACTTTTAGTACTATTAGAAAATTATGCAACAATAATTCTTCATTGCAACAGTGTTATGATTATTTTCATCATTTGACATTTACAAAAGAAATTTGTCTAAACATTTGCATATTGTTACACTGGTTTATAAGCCATTGAAACATCTGGTAATGACTTAAAATTTGCATTTGTGCGTATACATTAACCAGTATTAACCCATTCACCAAACTAGGATTTTGCACTGCAGAAATCTCCTGCTTTGAAATTAGAACAATCAACAAACTCAAGAAACAAAAAGATTGGCAGTGTATGTAGATACTTCAAGGAAGTACTGGCTTATGCTGCCATATTTGCTGCTAGTTATAATTGGTTTTTAATAGAATAAGGTAATATGATATCAGCCGACACAACTGTCTGATCATGGTCAACTCTGTTTGCACCTAGCTTAAGGTCTTCAGCGTACCCGTTTATATACTATGACATGACGTGAACGCTGAAGACAGACCTGTAGGGAATGTCCACCAATAATCGTGCCAGGAATCTGACACGCTCGTATTCATTCATCGAACATGCCATGAAGTAAAGCAAAGCATACCTTGATAAAACTATATATAATCCGTTGATAAGCCGAGGATGGACAAATAAAAATCTTATTAAGGTAAAAAGTTTAGCACTTGGCCGTCGTATTGCCAAAATGTTTGACCAGGTGATTACAAGATTGACCTTTACTAACCCATGTGCTTCCAACATTTTTATAAATTACTTTTTTTAAAGATATTGAAAAAGGTGATTTACTGACTTTTGTATGCAATATAATCATATTTAAGTACTAAAAAATTAATGAAAATAAAAACAAGGAACATCGCAATGCGATGCAACCAGGTTTTCAGCAAAATATTTCACAGAAGCTTCGTCATGCAGGGCATTTGTTTTAAAGTGAACACCCGCCCGCCCACCCAAAATCACAAAACCGGGATGATATGCACAAGGACTCTTGATGAGAAAGCTTCTGTGAAAGTTTGTCAAAATAGTTTGTAGGAAGAGGTTTTGCAAATAAGAATTTGTTCACTTTATATTCTATATATGGAACAAAAACAATATATTTCTATATAAGGGAAAAAAATAAATGGCAATAATTAGGTCAAACATTATCAAATCTCATAACCCTGACAACATGCAGCAAGAGTTGATGACAAAGCTTCTGCGAGAGTTTTGTCAAAATCCCTAGAGAATTGTAGGAGTTGCGCACAGAATTGCGCAGAGAAGAAGTGTTCACTATATATATTCTGTATAAGGAAAAAAAACAAAGGGCCATAAATAGGTAAAAAATTATCTAATCACAAAACCCCGACAATATGTGCTATGGCACTTGATGACAAAGCTTCTGTGAAAGTTTGGTCAAAATCTGTTGAGAAATGTAGGAGAAGTTGCGCACTGTAGAAATTGTTCACTATTATATTCTGTATAAGGAAAAAATACACAAAGGGCCATAATTCGGTAAAATATTATCCAATCACAAAACCCCGACAATATGTGCCAGGCACTTGATAACAAAGCTTCTAAGAAAGTTTGGTCAAAATCCGTTGAGAAATGTAGGAGGAGTTGCGCACAAGAAGAAATTGTTCACTATAATATTCTCTATAATGAAAAAAACAAAGGGCCATAATTAGGTCCAATATATACCAATTGCAAAACCCTGACAATATGTGTCAGGGCACTTGATGACAAAGCTTCTGAGAAAGTTTGGTCAAAATCCGTTGAGAAATGTAGGAGGAGTTGCGCACAGAAGAAATTGTTCACTATATATTCTATATAAGGAAAAAAAAAACAAAGGGCCATAATTAGGTCAAATATTATCTAATCGCAAAACCCCGACAATATGCGCCAGGGCACTTGATGACAAAGCTTCTGTGAAAGTTTGGTCAAAATCCGTTGAGAAATGTAGGAGGAGTTGCGCACAGAAGAAATTGTTTACGCCCGCCCGCCCGTCCGCCCATCCGCCCGTCCGCCGACATACCTCAATCTAATAACCAGTTTTTTCCTTCGGAAAACCTGGTTAAAAACATTCTCTTGAATAAAAATAGTGCAATCATGACAACAAAGATGTTCTAAATATAGTACACAACTCTACACTAATCTGTTCCCGCGAATGACGTCATACGAGGTCTCGCGTAGCACCTAAATGTCATGGCCGATTGTAGTCGGCGTAATTGATGTTTTACAGTTAAAAAGGCAATTTTAATGTAGATATTAATATTTTGATACTTTAAATGGTATACACATGTAGAACAATATTAAAATAATTGTTTTATCCTAAAATGCACAAGAATTGATTGGAACAAGTGTATTTGCAAGTGAAAAATAAGTTTAAATCAACTTAGGTTATTCTGGCTAGGTTTTGTAGCAGGTCTAATCCAAAACTTTAATGCCGCATCAGATGAAAAACAAAAATGTTAAATAGCGACTTATAAAGTTTTGGAAGCCAGAACTAGTTTGTACCATGACTGAATGGGTTAAGGCCACTAATTTATTGGGGGCACTGGAGAGTTACAGTGTTGGCCAACAAATCAAAAGTTGTCAGTACCTTCAAAGTCATATTCTTTCCATAAATATTTGACAGCCATATTCTTTCCATGAATATTTATAGGTACAAACTTCTTAAAACTGTTAGATTATGTAACTTCCTGAACCACTACAATTAATATATCCTACAGCGATGAATCACTAGGATAATATACATAAATAATAAAATAGATCAGCAAGCAACATAAGTGGTTTTTACATAGGAAAAGTGTTTCACTCTAGGTGTAATAAAAACCCTTAAAGAAAACATTATCATTAAAATATCCATTATGTATATCATATTTCAGTTAAAGAGAACTTAGAAAAGTAATAAAATTTTCAATGAATACTCACTTCCCCCTTTGTACATGCCATCTTCTTTGGTTTTGGAGCTTCATTCTGTAGCTGATATACTATCAAAAAACAAATATAAGTCATGATCATTTTTGTCATTTTGAAAGGCATACAGACAGACAAACACAGGCAGATGGACAGACAAACACATGGACAAACAACTTCAATTTTCAGATAAGGGAAAGTCAGTTTTACAAATTGACAGACAGACAGACATCTTTAGCTGTATTTATAATAGTGAACTTACTACAAGCAAACAGACAAGACAGGTCAATTGAGGTCAATTTTCAGAGAGAGAGAGATGAAGAAAATTGAGGGACAGGCTGGCAGAAAAAGGCATATATTAAAAAATATTAACAGCAAAGAACTGCACTGCCTGGGATAAGGACTGGGGGATAGTTTGAGGGACAAAGGTACTTATAGACAAGAAAACAAACGAATTGAGGAACAGCCAATAAACAGAAAACTATTGCACCTGACCATGCAATGGAATAGTATTGTCAGAATGATTATAGAACACTTAAAATAATTATAGAGATGTTAAACAGAAAGGATGATATATTGAAAATAGGTTTATATAAAAATAAAAGCTTGCAGATTTTTTTATAAGTAAGAAAGTTAAGTTCATCTATTAGCTCATAACCTCTTGCTGAAACCGAATGTGATAAGCCTAGAAGCGTCTGCCACCGGTTAAGAGCCAGAGGCAAGCCTGCACATGTCATCCGTGCAGTCTGACTAAGGTAAGCTCTAAACTGTTGACTGATTAAGTTTTGTCACCTGATATAACAAATCTGGTATTAAATGATCAATCTCAAATTTCATCAACACATTTTAGGTCATAGCCTTAACAAGACTGGCTAACCTTCGGTGTTGCAAACTTAGATCAAAACCACTCCACCTGACGGAGCTAGGAGTTGTACAAAGTCCAGTAATTGGAACCCATTAAGTCGTCTCTAAGGATCATACAGGGATAAACCGCAGCTGCAATTCTAATGCCTCAACCCCATAAAGACAACCCCTTAGCCACAAGGGGAAGAAGTACCAGGTAAGTCAATTATAAAAATTTGGCAGGTTACAGGTTAAAATATTGATATTTTTGCACTGCTACAGGATTGATATTTATGCACTGTTATGGGTTCAATATCAATATTTATGCACTGTTATGGGTTCAATATCAATATTTATGCACTAATGAAAATCTATTGTTGATCAAAATATTTTGTTCAATTTATCATCTTGGAGTAAACAGGAAGACATCTTTACAAAGAGTAATGTATAGACACTTGCTGTTGTTGGAAACAGGAAACCCCCTTTCTGAACACAAATATATCATATTTCACTACAATTCTGTCCTTGATAAAAACAAAAATAATAACAACTTATAAACAGGATATTATTTATGCAACATCACTAATCTGTGTTGGGCGAAAATACATTTATAATCATTATGCGTGCATGATTGTTGAAGAAAAAAGAAAACAATGCAAGAGCTTCATGTAATTTTCTCTGTCTAGAATGGAAAAAAAACAGTCAAACTTGTCTTTGATCTTCCTATAACTTCTCATTTTTAATGAACGCTACTTAAAAGATGGATTTTTTTCTTCATATAAATGTTAGCGAAATAGAAAAAAACAATAAGGGGATTATAATAAGACTTTAAAGTAGTTAAATTCATATAAATGAGGGTCTTTTGAAAGTTTTCTTATTGTATTGTAGCATTTATTCAGCAGTATTCTGCATAACAAGCAAACTTATTTTTGTATTTCTTGACTGCGGATCTCTGCAGATTTTTTTTGCATCATATAAATATAAAACTTTTGTAAGGCTGGCTCAAACCTAGGTTAAAGGCATAACTGGTAACACTTTGCCAGTGACAAGCAGTCACACTGATGTGTAACAACATTATTTGTTCTTTAAACACATGCCTTGAACATACAGAAAAGCTTTTACTTAAACAATTTTCAAGTAGATCTATAACTATCTTAACAACCAATTAAAATCTATAGCTACACAATGGTCTTTATATATAAGTGTATTACTATTTTACTTGAACTTATATTGGTAAAATAAAAATATTGTCAGTGTCAAATACTCGACCCTCAAATACTTACAGGAATGGAAAAAGTACAATACTTACAATAAGTTTTCCAGGTAGGTAACTGATTTTCACCTTCACCTGCAGAAAACAAAATTATTTGCGCATAAATATACGGTTAACAATCATAGATCATATATAAATGTTTATACTTACAATAACTATTCCATGTGGGGAGGTTATTCTCCTCAAATCTTGCGTTATATTCCACCGTATAGTAATCATGGCGTGGTTTGCGCTTCAATAAATTGATCATTTTTATTTTCCTGTTGCGTATTTTTTTTCCGTTCAACAAAATTTGCCGGAGGAAACAAAGTTATAATTTTATACTTAAGTTATATCCAGTATCAATATAATATGTATTCCATTAAATATGCTTCACTTATTTTTACAATTCCGCTATCCTATTTTCACATTTTTGCACTTTAAAATTTCTTAACATTCAGCAAAGTTACTATGGTAAATAAATGTTTTTCTTCCCGCTACATTTCTCGTACAAGAACTTCCTTATTTACATATATGAATAAACGTTTCGCTAATATTTTCATTAATTAGTTTCCTCGGTCGAACTGAATTCAATTTTAACACAAATAGGAAGTTTTACTCAGCAATACATTATTAAAAACCTCCACCGTATATTATCATTTTCACAACCTTCTAATCTTAAATACATATAAAACACGACATTGAAATGTAAAACTTTAACCTATATGAAAAAATACTGGCCTAAATGTTTCATACAAACACTTCTACAATTAACACTATGCTCAATTCAAGGCTTTTACGAATCTTGATTTTTCATCCTTAAACTCGTAGAGAAATATACAATTATTCAATTCAATCTGTTTGTCATGATATCCAATTAACAGAAATTTAATATAATAATCAAGCACCCGAGATATCTCAAAAAAGGTGACTTAAAATCACGATTCAGAATCATATGACAATTAAAGTTTTTCCAAATTTCAGTTTTACGACTTTTACGATTTCTTTACTTCCTTGAACAACAAGTGTTATTCAGGATTTATAAATGTATTTGCTATACAATAAAGCACATCTCAAGTTGTTTGTTGCAACTAAAATATGTTAAAGGGGAATTTTTCGTGCACTTGATCATATCAAGGGACAGTCCCAGTTATGGAATTGAATTATGGGATATTTGTTTTGCTGAGCAACAAGACTTTGTACAGATCTGCACGAGGTGCCAACATAAATACATGTACAAGTATTTGCAAGTGCGTGAACTTAAATGTTGTAGAAAATCTATCACAGCAAAATATGCTCAAATTAGCCATGGATCATAGTCTTTAATTATCAAAATTATCACCGTATATTGTCTTCAAAATTATCATTAAAGGAACTCCACTGAGGTTCAAAGCTTAAAAAACATGAAATTTGAATTTCTTACATAGATCAGCTGGGGCACTTGAAATGGAAAGACATGCAAAAGATAATTACGAAATATACTCAGAAATAAATTGAAACTATTTTGAGTCTGATTTGAGTGGAAAAGCGTTTCAATGTTTTCAATTTTGAGTCATTTTTCACAAAAAGAATAATTATTCTTGAAAAAACAGAGTGTCAGTGAATGATCTGAAATTGTGCACACAAGTTATTGGTCTAGACCTAGATCAAATGGAACATTAATAGTTTTAATACTGAAAAATTATTTCAAGTCCTGTCATGTCAAAAAAAACTCAGTTGAGTCCCTTTAACATTTAAAACATCTTTTGTATAAACATCATCACAATCTTCAAAGTGAGAGGTGGCATAATGGTTAAGCTTTTGTCTCTCACCCCAGGGATTGTGGGTTCGAACCTTACCAGGATCACAACCATGTTTCGTCATGCTGGGCTGTTCCTAGTTAGCATGACAGTCATGCATAAAACTTACGACTTTAAAATGCAATTATTTTACTTAAACTTTACTCAGCATAGCTAGGTGAACTGGCAAACTCACCTTCCATCTCAACTGTTTGTTGCTATCAACTGATTGTTGCTATAAAGTCTTACACATAAGTGCTGAGAAACATAAATATTCCTGGACATTTACACAGCATGACTCAAAATAAAAAATAACAACTTATTTACTTCATACTGCTGTGAATAATCATACATTATGAAATTTATGACTAAATTATTAACTTATGTTGCTATTTATAGCCTACAACTAATCATATCTTAAACACTTTCATATGTGTTAAGAGTACTTAATGAAGGGGAAGTAACTTGTACAAAATAATATACATTCCTATGTGTACAGTTTAGGTTTGTATTTCTAGGGCTTTGTGCAACATGGCTGTAACTCATATTGCATAAAGAAGGAGTAACATTTCTGCACCAAGCCGGCAATTTGTTTGTTATTCAATAGGGCATATCACCAGATTTTACCCACAAGGGCAAAATGCTATATGATACAACCCCCATCCACTTCTCTGCTCCCTCCCAAGTCTCTGCTACTCTCATCCCCCACCCACCAAAAAAAAAAAAAAAAATTTCCAGACAAGTTAATATACAAGTAGGGACAATGCTGATTGCAGGCCAGTGGATATACACTCTGCATGGGGATAGTATGAGATCACAGAGTATAACTGTCCCTATCATTTTATAGCTTTTCTACTTAAACCTTTAATTAAAATCACAAATTAAATTATAACACAGCAGAACAAATATCTGATTATCAGATCTGTTTCTGGATTATGATAATCACATGATGATTATCATCAATATCATAATATCAAATATGTAAAGCAAAAACGCATGAAATCTGTTAAAAGGGGTAAAAGATAAGTATTTGACCTTCAAAATAATCTAATTCAGAAAAATTATTTATAAACATTTTGAGGACTTTTCATATAGACATATAGGCACAATTTATGTCATAATATTCTAACAATTCTAAAATTCAATGAAATTCTATTGAACAGTTTTATATTTTTTTGTCAGTAAAAACTCCTAAAAAACGCATAGGTGGCAGTATCAGTGTTTGGACACCCAACCCCTATCTGCCCCTGGGCCCCTACTACAACCCTGAAAAAAATAATTCAACACTCTAAGGCTTACTATAAGGTACCAAATACAAAACCACCGATGAAATTATATATAAAAAAAAATTTACACTATCAAAATTATAGTTAACTATAACTATCCAAACACTGATACTGCCACCTATGAAAAAACGTTATGGTCAGATTTAGGGGAAGAAACTCAATTAATAACATGACTTTTATCCCATGCAGAGTTACTGTTCTTTACTTATTAAAGTCCTCCCTTATTCAAATGTCTAAACACAATAATCAAAGGTTACAATTTAAATAGATTTTAAAAAGAGATACAATATATATACTATTAGTAGTATAATGGTATCTTATCACACACTGATAAAAAAGACAAAAATATATTGAATCAATTGTTAATAAAAAAATAAAAAATACAAATTCATATTACTCTTTAATAATACTAATATTTTAAAATATCAGGTAAAATTGCTAGATTTCCTCTTTAAGTTTTATTTTCTTTATCTGGTTTTAGTGCCAATTTAACAACATATAGATATATCTGAAAACCAGTACAAGCAGTTGTTGGTTGGTGGATTTTTCACTAGATCTAAACTGATTTTTGATAGAAATTATAAAGTATACATGTATCAATATTTAATACTGTACTGTAATCCTCTCATTTTGAAACAGAGTCAGAACAATGAATGAAATTGATTTTTGTTGTTTCATTTAGTTCTGGTTTTTAGGTTCAGGGTAAGTTTATTTTTTGTTTAAGTGCCATTTATGACCACTTCGAAGTTACCTGACCTGAATGCACATGGATTCTATACCAGTACTGGTCTGTTTATCAGAACACTAGGTCAAAATATAACTTTAGAGATACAGGGTACAAAGAATAAGGATCCTTGTATCTAATAATCAATGGATCAAAATGTCTGAAGCAGACAGATGCTTTCATAATGACTTTTACATACAAAAACATGTAAAACAACATGTATAGAGCAGACTGTCTGATTTTATATCTAAACCAGTCTCTATACAATTTGGCTTCTTCATTTTTGATAGTCAAATCATTTATTTTAACTTTACTTTACTAGGATAAGATTTTAATTATTTCTGAAAAAACTTTAATTGCCCATAGTCCCAAAAATACAATAAATGTTATTAGATGACCCAAGTAAATAGAAACCAGGAACTTGATAGCAGGTTATTTTTTAATATACTTATCCTTTTGAAATTGAATCCACTTATTCTAATAATGAACAATAGTTCAAAAGAATTTAAGTTTAAAGTGAGTAGCTTTAAAGCTTTTCTAACTTAGACTTTTTTACATAAAACTTAGGAAAGTCAAAAAGGGGGTGGGGTATAAATGTCAGGAAAATAACTTCAAGGTGATCAACACATTTGAAATGGTCTTCATGTATTTTGATACATAAACAAGTACTGAGTAAAATTGAACTGATTTTAATTAAATTACTGTGCATTTCAAATTAAAAAGATAAATGACCTGCGTCATGACAAAACCAACATAATGGGTTTGCGACCATCATGGATCCAGTCCAGCCAGCACATCCGTTTGCTTACAGACCCTAAAACCTGGGCTGCCAAAGCAAATTGCAAAATCCGAGGAAAATACGCCGGGGGTCATGGGGGCTGCGCAAGCCCCCTTTGCAGGTCCAGGACAGAGCCCTGGTGGGGGCCCAACGGGCGAAGCCCCCGGAAGCTCCTGGATTCTGATGATTTGGTATGCCCTAAAATCAATTTCCTGGACTCTAAATTTGACTTCCTTGGTTGCCTTTAAAGCCATTCAGAGACACTTTAGTTGGACTTCAGGTTTTCATCAGCCCTCAAAACAAATATCCGACATTTTGACGCATTTTGACAACAGACAAGAGGGACAATGTAAACTGTAATTTGATTGGTTATTCTAAAATAGAATGCTGGAAATGACTCAATTTGACCAATGAGAAAAGCAATTACAGACGTACCATAGGCGGCTAGCGTAACGATAAAATCCGAAGCGTGCGGGTTTTGGGGTACTGTATAAAATATGATGAATGAATTTCTTGCCTTTGTCGAATTTACATCAATCTCAACTAGAACTCCGCGAGTCGGATGTGTCGCCTTGTGAACAATGTAGTTTAGGGGAAATGGCCAGGACAAAAATGAAATATGAAAAATAACAAAGGGCAATAACTAAAAAAATAATACGTGCAGAGCAGCATTTCTGTACACTGCACTTCTTATCAATAAGATCTATCATTCTATGATGTTTCAAGTCCATAGCTTTCATACTTGAGGAGAAATGACCAGGACAAAAATAAAGTAAGAAAATCAACAAAGGGCAATTACTCAAAAATAAGAAATGCAGAGTATCAGTTCTTATGCACTGCACTTCTTTTTAATGAGATCTATCATCCTATGAAGTTTCAAGTCCTTAGCTTTTATACTTAAGGAGAAATGGCCCGTACAAAATTAAAAAATGAAAATAAACAAAGGGCAATAACTCAAAAAATAAGAAATGCAGAGTACCAGTTCTTGTGCACTGCACTTCTTCTTAATGAGACCTATCATCCTATGAAGTTTCAAGTCCATAACTTTTATACTTTCGGAGAAATGGCCAGGACAAAAATTAAGTATTAAAATTAACAAAGGGCCATAACTCAAAAATTAGGATACAAAGTACCGATTCTTGTGCACTGCACTTCTTAATAATAATATCTATCATCCTATGAAGTTTCAAGTCCAAAGCTTTTATACTTAAGGAGAAATGGCCCGGACAAAATTAAAAAAATGAAAATAAACAAAGGGCAATAACTCAAAAAATAAGAAATGCAGAGTACCAGTTCTTGTGCACTGCACTTCTTCTTAATGAGACCTATCATCCTATGAAGTTTCAAGTCCATGGCTTTTATACATTAGGAGAAATGGCCTGGACAAAAATAAAGTATGAAAATTAACAAAGGGCAATAACTCAAAAATTAGGAGTGCAGAGTACTGGTTCTTGTGCACTGCATTTCTTCTTAATGAGATCTATCATCCTATGAAGTTTCAAGTCTATAGCTTTTTTAGTTGAAGAGAAATGGCCCGGACAAAATTAAAGTATGAAAATTAACAAAGGGCAATAACTCAAAAAATAAGAACTGCAGAGTACCGGTCCTTGTGCACTGCACTTCGGGTTATTGAAAGAAGCATGCATACCAAGTTTGAAGTCAATCAGACTTATAGTGACTGAGTTATGCTCCGGACAAGCTTTAGCGGACGCCGACGCCGACACAGACGCCGCCGCCGCCGACAAAAGTAACCCCTATATGTCACCTTTTCAAGGCGACACAAAAATGACCCAGGAGCTCAAGAAATCCGTGGATTTCCACGAATACCGGAAAATCGGCAGCCCTGTAAAACAAGAGGGCCATGATGGCCCTGAGGTCGCTCACCTGTATATAGCCCCCCCCCCCCGGCCCAATTTTTACCCAAGATCTTTTATTTGTTTATTTGAACAGACTTGGTACTTACTATACACATATAGTTAAAAACAATGACACCCCTCGGGCAGGGCCAGTTTTGACCCCTGGGCTTTTATTTGAACAAACTTTGTAGATATTTACTTAAAGATGTTTCATGCTTAATATCTAAACTCTAGCTATTTGGGTTTTTTCAAAGTAGATTTTTAAGTTTTTAAATGCTATACACATATAAGGAAAATCAATGACCCCCGGGGCGGGGCCAGTTTTGACCCCAGGGCTTTTATTTGAACATTCTTGGTAGACACACATTAGAACATGTCTCATGCTAAATATCTTAGCTCTAGCTCTTTGGGTTCTTTAAAAGAAGATTTTTTAAGTTTTTTACTATATGCATATAGGGAAAATCAATGACCCCCTGGGGCGGGGCCAATTTTGACCCCAGGGCTTTTATTTGAACAAACTTGGTAGACATTTACTTGAAGATGTTTCATGCCAAGTATCTAAGCTCTAGCTCTTACGGTTCTTTAAAAGAAGATTTTTTAAGTTTTTACAATATGCATATAGGGAAAATCAATGACCCCCCGGGGCGGGGCCAATTTTGACCCCAGGGCTTTTATTTGAACAAACTTGGTAGACATTCACTAGAAGATGTTTCATGCCAAATATCTTAGCTCTAGCTCTTTGGGTTCTTTAAAAGAAGATTTTTTAAGTTTTTACTTTATGCATATAGGGAAAATCAATGACCCCCTGGGGCGGGCCAATTTTGACCCCAGGGCTTTTATTTGAACAAACTTGGTAGACATTCACTAGAAGATGTTTCATGCCAAATATCTAAGCTCTAGCTCTTTGGGTTGTTTAAAAGAAGATATTTAAAGATTTTTCTTTCGGTTGCCATGGCAACCAGAGTTCTGCATGGAACTAAATTCTTTGAACAATTTTTAAAGGTGACAACCAAAGGAACATTCCTGTATAGTTTGGATGAAATTGGCTCAGTGGTTTATGAGGAGATGTCATTTAAAGCAAAAGTTTACGGACGGACGACTGACGCCGGACTGACGCCGGACAAAAAGAGATCACAAAAGCTCACCCTGTTACTTTGTGACAGGTGAGCTAAAAACTGATAGCCAACAGCATGGTTCCTGATCAGACTGTGCGGATGCGCTGGATGGTCTGGAATCCATGCTGGTCGCAAACCCATTATGTTGGTTTTGTTGTGACGCGGCTCAAATATTGAACTAAAATTAAGATTTTGATGATGGGATCATGCAATAGCTTTTTCTGCAAATTATTAAAAAAATCTAGAAATTTGAAACCCCTTAAAACCCCATCTTTTATAAATTCTTAATTTTTCATACTTTTTTTTTTATTTATTGACCCACTCATCATCGTTATATTTCAAAAATCATTATTTAAACTGACACAACTGAAATGAAGCTTTTATTATTAGCACAAAACAAAAAACCAGTGTTGTAGTTTTTGGGGGTCTTTTTCCCTGAGATTATTTTTGTCTGACATTCCATGAATAAAGCTCTTCATTATAATGTATAAACCTAAACAAACTAGCACAATGAAATATGCAATATTTCAATCAAGCTGGCAATGTGTTAAGATAAAAAGATCATCTCAGGTTACAACTAGTCAGGCTATTTTAAGATTAATTTGGTTCAGAATAAAACTATAGACAAATATTTTGTAAAATGAATCTTTTTTTCAGTATATATTTATACAATAGACTGTAAAACCAGTCTCTCTTGCAAGCATTAAAATTTTTGTTGATTTTTTTTTTGTCAATAATTTTACAATAGCTAGAACTTTACGGATTAGTTTATGATGATTATAAAAAGAAATACAACAGGCTGGAAATTGTCACAAAACCAGATTTTCTGCCAATATTCAATACATGGAAAAAAAACAAGGGACCACAAGCTCCCAAAATTAAGATCAAATCATAAATTCATCAATATCTGGCAGGGCACACGATGCAATCATTCTTGAACAGTTTGGTTGTAATCCTTTGAGAAATGGAGAACATTGTATATGAAGAAAATTTGTTTAAGCTTTTGACATATTCCTGTCATGCCCCATCCCCCCAAACATTCCCACCTATGCACACCCGATGCCCCCCAAACATTTAACAGAGTTTTCTGTTGATAAACCTGGTTAATAAGTAATTATGTTTGTATACATGTGTATATTATAGTATATTGTAAACTTCTAAATATTTTAGATTGTCAAATAAAGCAACTTAAATATTTTTATTATTTTACAGTATTACGTGATATTATAAAACAGGAAACTGAATGTTGTTAGTTATATACTTGATAATTACGCCATCGGAAATAAATTTAACAATGTACAACACATAAATTTGGTAATTAAAGTATTTTAATCAACTAAGGAAGAAATAATAATCTATTATTTAGTTTTCAACTTTATCTAAAAAAAAATTATCTTTTCAGGAAAATAAAACATGATTTTACTTTTTTCTGTCAAACATGAGTTTGCAGTATTTTTGTAAATAAAACAAATCTATTTATAAATTCCTAAAATAAACTGCAGCGTACCATCAAGTCTCAACTTTTTTCTTTCTTAAAACAAATGAGGAAAAAAGGCCGAATGATTATTCACTATTTCTATGTGGTCATGTCATTAGATAGAAAATTATTTCATACTGACAAGATGTTTATTACATTGTAATGTATATATTAACATGTGTAATATGTTAATATGTCAAGGCCATCATTATATTTTTCTAGGATTTATTCACATTATATATATATATATCATTATATGTATTATATTGGTTAAAGGCAGTCAAGTGTTTGGACAATATATTATTATTGCTTCTTTCCCTCCTGTCACACTTCAAACAAAAATTATTGTTTCAATTGCCGAAGAAAAGTGAATTGTAATTTTTTTTCTTGAGGGGTCAGGTCAAGCAGTATATATTTTTATATCTACATGACAGCCTGTCTATTTCAATGGTGAAATAGACAAGTTGAAATCTATACTAAAACATTGTGGATTAATCTTTTTTCTAGCTCACAATTTATGAACATTTTCTATTCTTTCAATCTTCGAATTTCAATCAAAACAGCCCAAGGTTACAAAATAATTCAAGTTTTTTTAATCAACCAAATCAAACTATGCACTATCAGAAAATTCATTAAGAATGGCTCTCTTAAAGTATCCAATCTAGTATATATAAATAAAATTATTCATTCCTGCATAAAATGAACACATAGATTTACAATTAAATACATACATATACACATATATATACATACAATGTATCAAACATATGTTGTTGTGTTTTTTTAACTCAATCCATATACATGTATATAACATATGTTACTTCTACATGTATTCAAGTATATAAATCAAACCAATCTTCAACCATATCTTGACTTAGGTATAAGACCTTGTCATTACCAATTTGCTCCCACTAGATACCAACATCTTCACAGAGATACCCATCTCCTTACAAAAAAAATCTACCAAAGAAATCCCCCCCCCCCCTGAACCTGCCTCGGCAAAACCATATCTCGCATGAGTCAAACACAACAAATACAATCAACCTGTTTGTTTTACTCATTCTTGACAGGCTTGAGGTCTTGCAGAATTGTACATGGAAACTTGACTAAATACATAAAATTAACATCTGGTTCCTATAAGATGCACAACAAAATGCACTCTTTTGAAATAGATAGAAGTGAGGATAATGTGAGGATGTTGCATCTTCTAACTTCACTCTAAAATAATCGAAAATCTTATCTAAAGAATTTCACACCCACAAACAAAAAATATATGCAAAAATTTTTATCTGTAAGACTGAAAAGGATCACTGCTGTTGCAAAACATTTTAATTCTGTGATTTTTATAATATTTTTTTTTTACTTTAAGGTACATTGTATATAAATAGCAATACTTTAAATTTCTAAAAATTTAAGAGCTGCATGAATATTTTTTTTTTTACTATTAAGTACAAAAATAGCAATTCTTAATAAACAAGATATGTTTGTAAAACATGTATGCCCCCTATCAGCAGCCAATAAGTCATGTGAAAAGGTTTTTATGCATGACTTCTGACCCAGTGATCAAACAATTAATAAGGGTTATCAAGTATCTACTGGTCATGACCTTTACCTTTGACCCCTTGACCCAAAACTCAATAGGGGTCATCTGCTGGTCACGACCAATCATCATACAAAGTTTGAAGTTCCTAGGCCTAAGCGTTTTTAGTTAATTGATCGGAAACCATTTTAACATACAAGGTCAATGTGACCTTGACCTTTGACCCCTTGACCCCTTAATCAATAGGTCATCTGCTGGTCATGACCAATCACCATACCATGTTTGAAGTTCCTAGGCCAAAGGGTTCTTAAGTTATTGATTTGAAAGCATTTTTACCTACAAGGTAAATGTGACCTTGCCCTTTGACCCCTTTAGCCCAATATCAATAGGGGTCATCTACTGGTCATGACCAATCACCATACCAAGTTTGAAGTTCCTAGGCCTTAGGGTTCTTTAGTTATTGATCAGAAACCGTTTTTACCTAAGAGGTCAATGTGACCTTGACCTTTGACCCCTTGACCCTAAAATCAATAGGGGTCATCTACTGATCATGACCAATCACCATATCAAGTTTGAAGTCCCTAGGCCTAAGGGTATTTTCGTTATTGATCGGAAACCGTTTTTATCTACAAAGTCAATGTGACCTTGACCTTTGACCCCTTAACCCCAAAATCAATAGGAGTCATCTGCTGGTCATGACCAATCACCATACCAAGTTTGTAGTTCCTAGGCCTAAGGGTTCTTTCGTTATTGATCGGAAATTGTTTTTACCTACAAGGTCAATGTGACCTTGACCTTTGACCCCTTAACCCCAAAAATCAATAGGGTCATCTGCTGGTCATGGCCAATCACCATACCAAGTTTGAAGTTCCTAGGCCTAAGGGTTCTTTTGTTAATGATCAGAAACCGTTTTTACCCAAGAGGTCAATGTGACCTTGACCTTTGACCCCTTGACCCCAAAATCAATAGGGGTCATCTACTGATCATGACCAATCACCCTACTAAGTTTGAAGTTCCTAGGCCTTAAAGTTCTTTAGTTATTGATCAGAAACCGTTACTGCTTACAAGGTCAATGTGACCTTGACCTTTGACCCCTTGACCCCAAAATCAATAGGGATCATCTACTGATCATGACCAATCACCATACCAAGTTTGAAGTTCCTAGGCCTAAAGGATCTTTAGTTATTGATTGGAAACCGTTTTTGCTTACAAGGTCAATGTGACCTTGACCTTTGACCCCTTGACCCTAAAATCAATAGGGATCATCTACTGATCATGACCAATCACCATACCAAGTTTGAAGTTCCTAGGCCTTAAGGTTCTTTAGTTATTGATCGGAAACCGTTTTTGCTTACAAGGTCAATGTGACCTTGACCTTTGACCCTTTGACCCCAAAATCAATAGGGGTCATCTACTGGTCATGACCAATCACCATACCAAGTTTGAGGTTCCTAGGCCTTAAGGTTCTTTAGTTATTGATCTGAAACCGTTTTTGCTTACAAGGTCAATGCGACCTTGACCTTTGACCCCTTGACCCCAAAATCAATAGGGATCATCTACTGATCATGACTAATCACCATACCAAGTTTGAAGTTCCTAGGCCTAAAGGTTCTTTAGTTATTGATCGGAAACCATTTTGCTTACAAGGTCAATGTGACCTTGACCTTTGACCCCTTGACCCCAAAATCAATAGGGATCATCTACTGATCATGACCAATCACCATACCAAGTTTGAAGTTCCTAGGCCTTAAGGTTCTTTAGTTATTGATCGGAAACCGTTTTTGCTTACAAGGTCAATGCGACCTTGACCTTTGACCCCTTGACCCCAAAATCAATAGGGGTCATCTACTGGTCATGACCAATCACCATACCAAGTTTGAAGTTCCTAGGCCTGAGGGTTCTTTAGTTATCACTCGGAAACCATTTGGTCTACGGACCGACGGACCGACAAGTGCAAAGCAATATACCCCCTTTTCTTCGAAATGGGGGCATAATAAAATAAATAAACTACATAAATAAAATAGTGCAATCTGACCAAATAAAACGCTGCTTGCAATTTTTTTGATTTCTTATAATAAAAAAACTTAGGCCTAAAATAAAATATTGTTTGTTTTCCCTCCCACTATCTACCCGTTTCCCCTCCTACTACTCCCACTACCTACCCATTTCCCCTCCCACTATCTACCCATTTCCCCTCCCACTACCTACCCGTTTCCCCTCCCACTATCTACCCATTTCCCTCCTACTACCTACCCATTTCCCCTCCTACTACCTACCCATTTCCCCTCCCACTTATCACAGCTCCTTCCATCCCCCCTCCCCCCCCCAAAAAAAAATTAATTTGTTTACTACACAATAATGAAAACAGAGAGTGTCAATGAGAAACACATCTTTATATCTGTCTCAAGTTTTTTTAAATTGTATAAATATACAAACTGGAATATACATATTGAATAAAACTGAAAATATGCTTTTAATTTACTATGCTAAACATTCATCATTTGATTTGAACTCCATATAATTTTGATTTAAAAAGAAATTCTATCGACCTACCTACCCTACCCAAACTTGCATTGGTCGCAGGAAGGGAGGGGAAACAAAGATATTTTTAAGGCTTGCCTTAAAATAACAATGGACTCATCGTAGTACAAAGCAGGTCAAGTCCATTATCAAAATTTAGGTGATGTCAAGGTTAAATAAAAGTATAACAGAAGTATAGTAATCTTAAAACTTTGATTAGAGAAACCCTGGAGACTACAGACAGACTTATCGCCATACAAACTGTCAAACATAATAAACATTTCAGACATTTATCCAAACTACATTTTATTTGCATCAATTGAGAACCTTTTCACGACCATCAGTTTCCAAATTGTTGAATATATACATAAATTTTCTATAAATTTTCCAATTTATTATGTATATATGCAATCCTCCTTTTAACAGGCTTTTATATTTATTATAAATTTTTTTATGTAATTATACTAATTATGATCATCAAGTCTTCAATTTTCAAACTTTCTAAATTTGTTGCTATGAAGATAATCTTAAACTGATGTATGTTATAGCATCATAAACTTTGCTGTGTTAGAAAGGAATGTGGGTTTTACATCACATCAACAGTGAACAGAGTAAAAGTTATACAGTGACATCCCAGGAAGACATTAGGTGCCACTCCATGAATTATTTCAGGCACAAACAGGTACCTGAGTAGAACCATAGACGTTCCGTGAGCTAACCAGATAGCTTCCTCACATGACAGTATCCAAAGTACCTAACAGGATTCAAACCCACAGCATTGAGGAGGAAGTGGTTTGAAATCAACAACCTTAACCACTTAGCTACCGACGCCCAATTGGAATGTATCATAATAAATGGGCAAACCATTTACCATTTTTACGAAAGATAAAAATGACAGACAATATGTACAATGTAATGTAACTTACCACTCATGGATGTACGATGATATACCATGTTATAATATCGAGGTCTAGGTACTGGCCGCTCTTTGTTCACTGACATTGTCTATCTTCAGTATCTCTTGTAAGTTAAAGACTTACATTCCTACAAAGCTGAAAATATAAAACATTCACCGTGATATGGGAGTGCTACCATGGTATCAATATATAAGAAACAAGAAAACCATGACAGACTTTTATTGCTCATACAACACAGATGTCCAATTGCACGGTGAAGAAAGACCAAGTTAATGCAGAATTACAATATGACAAAGTCTGACAGACTGAAGCAATTCACTGGTCCAGAAAACATTTACATACATGTATAAATTTGCTCATCAAAGGACTTTATTAATTTATGTTAAAATGACAAGTGTGCCTTGAAACCAAATATTTACATACAATGTAATAAGGAATCAAAACTACAGTATAACAGTGTAGAATGACCCTCTGTAGAGCAATCACCTCTACAATAATAAATCACCACTTTACCAAAGAAAGACTTTACAAGAAATTTAATGTCTCTAGAGTAACACCTCTCAGCAAGAACTTAAATCTTTGTCTATCAAAGGGGTGTTGCTTTGTAGAGGTTTTACTGTATCCTGATATCCACCTAGTAAAACTCTGTATGTCATCATTTCATGATGATCTAATTCAGGTACATGATCACTACTGTCACATCTTTGATATATGAACAAAATTTCTATATGTACGTCATGTAGCAAAAATTTACTATATCAATATATATAACAATACAGATTGTGAGCCATGCATGCAATTATGCTTTCAAAACAGCTAAATTATTTAATCTTTCAACTGCTAAATATCTTAAATATACTTGTCCATCTGTCAATTAAGACAAAACTATTCACCGGGAAAATTCTAAAGTATATACTGACTGAATAGTGACAGTCCAGACTATAACAAGAAAATCATTGATGCAAAGCATCAAAGGGCGACGCCAAAAGAATTTGATCCAGATTTGCACCTAAATACTTAACAAAAGATGTGTACTTTATAGCAGTACCATTACATGTGACCTGGAGGCTAGGGCCAGTTTAAGTTGAAACTTAAACCAAAAAAGAATAGACTCTGTCTTGCCAAGATGCAAAGACAATTTATAGTCAATTAAGCAATCTTATAAGACTCATGCTATAAGAAAGAATTTCTTCAGATTTATTTTATGAGACACAAGGATTCCTGAGTCATCAGCATATAATCACAGGCACGAGTATCGGACCTGGGAAGAAAAAATATGACCAGATGACCAGATTGATAAAAAAAAACTGTGTTTATAAAAACCAAAAAAAAAAATGTAAATAATGATCCCCTTTAAAAATATACTATCAACTTGAAGTATATTTTTAAAGGGGGTCATTATTTACATTTTATTTTGGTTGTTGACACTTTTAAGATGAACACAGGTTTTTTATCAATCTGACCATATTTTTTCTTCCAAGGTCTGATACTCGTGCCTGTGCATTATAATAAAAGCTTACTGCTTAGGGTTGAAGACATGTAATTGACATATATTAGACATAAAAGAGGACCTAAAATGAACATCAGGGGGACAGCATAGGTACTCAGAGCAGTAGTAGAATGAGTACCAGCCACATCAACCAGCTACTATCAGAGATAATACTTAAACCATGTAAGAATGTCATTATATATGGCAGATGCTTGAAGTTTCATGAAGAAGAAGAAAAACAACTTCTTCATGTGCAGTATAGTGTGTTCAACTGTATCAAATGCCCTTTGTAGATCTAAAAGTATCATGCAATACTGCCTTTGTCCATTTCAAATAATGCAATCTGTTAAATGAATCAAACATGTGTCAATTGAAAAACCACTTCTAAACCCTGACTGAAACTGCCTGACCATGACTCGAACCCATGACTTTCAGAAGACCAACTGAGCTATCCGGCCTGCTACACATTTTCTCTTTAATAATGAAACAGTTCTAAACCACAACATATTTCCCCACTATATCGATTTGTGTTCGTGAATTTCTTATGTTACAGAGCATAGGAAATTGAACTCATGCTTATATGCAGTCACAGGATGAGAAAAACTTTGAGCTTGACCAGAACTCAAACCTGTGACCAACATAAGAAATTTTATGAAGGCTGATTTGTATTTTGCATCAAGGGCACCGGGCAAAAACATGAAAATGCAACAAACAAACCACTTTGTGGTAGATTGTATTTTCATGTTTTCATCTGGCGCCCAGTTACTTTTTGTACTATGTTGGTTTTCATGTGGCACAAATCACCCACTATAAATTTAGTGCACAAATTTATTCAAGGGCAAGTAACAATCTACTCTATGTACAGTCTGTTGTCGGGTTGACTCAGGAGACCTGGAGGTTGAGACCGGTGTCCCTTCATTACAAATAGATAAGACAGAAGCTGTCCTTTTCAAACTATGCACATGTTAGAAAAAAAATAGAATAACTATTCAGAATATGATTTTTTGAGACTTTATTAATTATATTGCTTGATCCAAGTTTAAGGACATTTTCAATCAATACATGTTTTATCATTTATAACTTTAAATGAAAGTCTCATCCCTTTAATAATAATGACATAACTGTATCTCTTTAAATGCAGAAAAATTATAAGTCTCAACATATCAATATACTACTGTCTAAGATATACATGTATGCACATAACATTAATAATTCCCAGTTTATATTAAATAAATATGAAATCCTAACATTAACATTAACATGCTTTTGATGACCTTACAACTGGTGAATTATATACAACAAAAATTGTATTATAAGTAATACCTAAGATAGACAGAAAAGAACAAATAATTTAGTAAACATGAGTTACTTCCCCTTACAATAAAGAAAACCTGAAACCCAAAAGAACACCCTAAACAGCAAAATTATGAAATGCTGCAGGTTCAGTTTTATCAAGCCATGCAAATTAATGGTAAAGTATTCATAAAAAAATAGATGGCCATGTGTCAGCAGTAATTGCAGAAAATCGGATAGCTTTCAACATCCGGATACTGGTACACTTTGTAAAAACAACCATTCTGCGCAACAGATAAATGTAATAAGGATAAAATCAATAGGATAATCGTTTACAACAGTTCCATTACCTATCCTTATACTCAATTGCAGGTGAACTTTCTTCTTGTAGGAAAATTTTGAAAATGTATAAATGAATGAATGAACTGATACGGCCTCAATCTAGACCACAACGATATTCGAAATCCGGGTTTTAGTATTGTCATTAAAACTAAGGGACAAGCTGTTAAACTTAACCTGCAATTTCGTGAAAATAATATCACAATGCACATGCTTTTTTACATAAAGTTATTAAATACAAATATAACAACACATTTGTTTACTTGATTTTTACGAATCAAAATAAAACTAATTAACACAACATGAAATTAACTGCTAATAATAACAGCTCCTTCCATAGGCAAAAATAAAAAGCGTTCCATAATAGACGACGCCGCTCACCGGCGTCGCCAATCAGACAGCATGGATGTGCTGGACAATCTTGGTATGTACTGGTAACAAAGGCAGAATAAGTAAACTTTTGCTAGCAGGCTAACAGTTAAAGAGTCAGAACTAGGAATGAACAGCCTTTGTTGCCAGTAAATCCATGCAGTCTCAACACTCAACAGGCTATATATAATGGTGATTTAAATTTGCAAATTGATATCCAAAATTATAACATGATGATGTAATGAGAAGATAAGTCCATCCTTGAAATTTAGTGCAGTATGAGTTAGGTATAGGAATTGTAGAGAATCATGATTATTCACTTGGGTTTTAAGATATATGCGTGTGTGTTTGAGTTTGTTTACCCTCGCCACCGGAAAGAGACCATATGGGCGAGCATGAAAACACTCAATCCAACCCCTTTGCTTAATTGAGTCTAATACACCAATTGAGGCCTACTTTCACAGTTAGCATATTTTAATTCTAAAAACAATAATCTATCAGTTATCTTTCAATTATGCTACGGTATTGATAATTAAACTTAAACATATATCTGTTCATGGAATATTTATAGTTTCTCATGGATTTGGTTCTGTATACAAATGTAGTTAATTCTTAAATAATCTTAAGTGTCATGCATTAATCAAATAAATATTAACCTGTTAGGTACATTATTATTTTGAGTTTGTTTCTGGTTCTGAGATAATTATGCCATTAATATTGATAATCATACTTCAACATATCAGGCCACGATAAAATTATTCTTGGGTCACTTGCCTTGCAGGACTAGTGACCCTACAAATTTACTTGCCCTTCAAAAAATGTACATGTACTTGCCCTTTATTTTGACAGACAAAATTGGTTAAAATCAAAAACACAAGACTCAAATTTACTATTTACCGCTCTGTATCAGCAGGGTTGTCATTAAGAGGCGGCAGGAGGCCAAAATGCCTGTCTCAAATGCATTATGGGCCGCCTCAAAATTAAGAAAACACTCTTTGTTATGCATGATAAAGACAGAAATGACCGCCTCAAGTTCAAAACAAACCTTCTGCAAAAAATGTTAATGACAACCCTGTATCAGTATAATTGGCTTTCTTCAATTACATGTAAATATTGTTTGAATTACTTTTTATTCTTTTAATATGTAATCTTCGACATAGCAAGAATACTTATTTCATTCAAATTTTAACACTATCGGCTAATATATTGACCTCATGGCTAAGTACAAAACATTACCGAACGCGTATATATAAAACAGTGTTGAATGCTGCTGTTGTTACAGAATCGATTCATCATACACGTTTGGTTAACTTACATGTAGGTTGATTTCTGGTTTTCGTTTGACAGTATTAAGATTGAGATGGCATCTGCAGTTTGAGTTTAGTTTACCAAATAACTTCATTAAAACAAATTATTAGAGAAACATCATTTGGATTGGGAGAATCTTACTCACCCAACTGGGCAAGTTTAATAAACTTTTTTCTTATCCGAACTTTCACTGGCAAAAATGAGAGCAGGTGAGTGGATTTGTCAAGGCTAGCATATATCTGTACATAGAACAGTAGCTACAAGGCAATTATAACTGGTCAATCTGTTACAGATGCCAGCTAGCTTTGCCTCCATTGACAGGATCTTTTCAAACTTA